TCAGGGAGGAATTTACAGTGGAATGGCGGATTTTATGGAGTAAATGGTTAATCTCTTCGATACTTCTGCTCCCCTTGATTCTCCTCTACCTGCGTTCTTGCTTACTGAGGAGGAGGGATATGAAGTAGTCTTCAGTTCGCAGGAGTCCTCTAATGAATAGGACATGTCCTTTGATGTTTCCCCTAAGCTGAAGGAAACTATTAACATCCAGGGAACACCATCCACACTTGTCTCCACCTGCTTTGTCCCTTCTTAAGGACATGAGTTTGGGGTCCTTTAAAAATGCCTTAACCTGCTAAAATGTTTCCTTTTTCCTCGCTTTTACAGCCTGTGTTGTATGGTGACTGGTCTCGCCCTGAAAAACTTCCCACCCACTAAACAGTTTGCTTGGCCGTGTCCTCTCGAAGACTGCTTCCTTAAGAAGTGCGTGGTCCTTACTGTGGACCACCAAGGTACTGGCCCCTGTCTTGGCCATGCTGCAGTCTCAGGTGATCCCCATAGTAGGGTACTTGGTTTCAGCCCGGTCATCCAACATTCAGAGGATGATACAGACCCTAGGTCTGGATAGATCCTGAACCAACAGTAATCGGTGCTTGAGCCCTCCCATCACTGCAAAGTGCCTAGGCCTGGTCTCTGCCACAGGAGAAGTTGTTGTCTCTCCGCTTCCATGTTCAGACCCTATGGCCCAGTGACTGTCTGACCATTTTTGCTTTTGCATTACATTTCTGGGCCTGGTGGTAACCTCCCTCAAGGCAGTTCCCTATGCTGAGGTTCCCTTCAGCTCATCCACTTGTCCATTAAGATGGAACTTGCCTTAGCATGGTGGATGTCCAGTCCGGAAGTCCTTCTTTCCAGTGTCGCGGAAGGTTCTTGTGTCGTGTGCCAGCCTGGGGCCTTCCAGGTCACTTGGTTGTTGAAGCAGTTATGGTTCCTGATAAACATCCTGGAGCTCATGCTTCCAGCTTCAGAGTCTTATGAGTACCTGAGGCCTTGCTTTGTATTAAGTTATCTTATCATTATACGGTCACAGCATTTCTGCTTTTAGACAGAGGAGACAGTCCCTCTGCAATGGATTGTCTGCTGTGCTGCCCGCCTCTCCTTTGGACTGTTTTTGGATGTCCTGAAGGTGAGTATCTTCCTGTGTCCTTCAGTGGATGAGAATGAAAATGGGATTTTTGTGCAGACTATAAAATCCTTTTCTTGGAGAAAAGGATTTTATAATGTAATGTTGAGTACATACAATATTCTGATTATGTTTATTACTCAGTGTGTGTGTTCTGATATGTTTATTACTCAGACATTTTTGAATAAATATAACTTCTTCTCACTTATGTTTTTTTCTTTTCTCTACAGGCTCTCAGGCTCATTTGGTGATATCTGGACCAGAGCTGGTATTACAGAAGCCTTCATGGGGAACAAGTAGTATAGCTACTAATACGAACTCCATATTGTGGACAAGCGATCCGCCTTCTCTCATTAGGGACCGTAACAGCGTGACCCTTCAGAGCAGGGAGAACTCGCAGCTAAGACATTTCCGTTCTACAGACCTACAGAAACCTGAAGAGAGACGAGGACCCAGGGAGGAAAACATCAGGTAACAAGTATATGTAACAGGGAGTCTAGAGGGGAACAAAACCCAATGCCATTTTAGGGTAGCTGTAATGCTAGGCTAGCACCAGAACATTTTCATTAAGCAGCTTCCAATCGCAAAAACAATTGAACAGATTAAGGTAACCTATCAAAAGTTGAAAATGGTTTCATAACTTCAATACAAACTGCCTCTGTGATCAAAACTTTGTATAAGACAAAGCATAATATACAGAATATATGGATGGGGGGGGGGAGGCATTATTAAAAACATTGCTGAATATTTGTTTGCAGTAGTCCAGGTCTGGCTAAAATACGTTCATTGCGGTTACATCTGACATCTCACTATGTTAAGAAATGACTTTTACATATTCCATAAAAGGAGTGCTAATGTCCCAATTTAAAAAGGCAACATGAAAACTAAGACCACCTGGCAAATGTGTCTCCGGCCTACAGTAACACATACTGTAGGCTCCTTATTTATAATTTTCATGCCATAAGATATTTAAGCACCATGGACAGCTGTACTGTGAATGTTTACTTCATGATAACTATTAAAATAGTTGAAAATCCCAAAAAGCTTTGTAAAATTAAAAATGTTTATTTTCAATTAAAAATGTATTAAACTAGTTTTAGCTGGACATATCCTCTTATAGGGCTGGTTCACACCAAGAGTGCGTTCCAGAGCGTTTGGCCTCTGGAACGCACCCTGGCCAGCTCCCTGCAATTAGAGGCGTGGCGGTGCATTAAAGTCAATGGTACCGCAGCCACACCCCCCACAGTGCGATCACCCACTCCCGAAAGCATAGCACATTAGTGCCTGCGTACCGGGTGCGATCTGCATAAATGCTGCAAGCACTATTTTTGCAAATCGCACTGGACTGGAGTGCAGGCACTAATGTGCCACGCGTTTTGGGTGCAGACGATCGCACTGGGGGTGTGGCTGCGGTTTTATTGACTTCAATACCACGCCTCTGAATGCAGGGAGCTGGCCAGGTTGCATTCCAGAGCCCTAACACGCTGGGACGCACTCTTTGTGGTGTGAACGGGCCCATAGTGTATTGCAGGGGAAAGGGGAGAACTTCACATAATGACTGCCTATTTTTTCCAGCAGTGAGACCGCAACACCAATGGCCAAGAACATTCTGGATGACATCAGTACGATGTTTGATGACCTTGCCGAGCAGCTCGAAGCCATGTTGGACTGAGGAGCCCTGTTCACTTTTTTTTTTGGCACTTTAGCTGGGACTGAATAGCGCAGCTTCACTTGGATTAAAACAATCTATTTTAAAACCGTTTCAGCCATTGTTCAAAAACACTTTGCTGAAGTTTGTTACGGATATTTTGGATACTTTGCAGCAGCACTTGGGATGTAAATTGAGGCCTTGAACTGGACCGATCTATATTCAGCTCTGAATGGCTCTTCTAGATGCAGGGTGAAGACACGGATACAAATGGCGGATGTTCTGCTGCCTGTCAGGCTTCTGCCTATACTGCCAACCCTTGTTCCTAAAATGAAACTGTACATGTTTGATTTTCTTTTTCTAAGAAATGTTTATTTTAATTCGGGCCTCCAGCTGTGGTGAAACTACAAATCCCATGATGCCTTTGTCTCTGGGAGTCATGTCTGTGAGAATCTTGCAATTCCTCATGGAATTTGTAGTTTCACCACAGCTGGAGGGCCAGAGGTCCCCACCCCCTGTTCTACACACACATTTATAGTGTAGCAGTGGTGGGTGTTCAGCATGGCTGCTTTTAAAATACAAGACCAAGTGGTAAAATAAGCCTGACCCCCCTTCTTTAAAGGGGTCATTCCACTTTCGCAGGTGAATTTGGGAACATGTAACTTCTGTTCTTGCTAGAAATGTTCTTAGCCTGAAAACATGCAGCAACCAAATCTAAGGATTGGCAAGTTGCACCTATAAAGTTTCCCACTAACAAGATGACAGGAAGAAGTCCACCTTGGCCAATTATCTTATGACCTTCTACCACCAGCCACAACTCGTCAGGGGAACCACTGACTGTCCAACAACTCATTCCTGGCAGCAGAGGACAATTCAGGAGTCGGGAGAAGAAGGGGTGGGAAAGAAACTAACCATTTTCCTTGTAAACCTGGGCAGGAATAAAAAGAGGAGAGCTCTCCTCCATATGTGGCGTACATTAAGTATAAGTCACCATAGCACCTTGTGACCGGAGGTACCAGAAACATCAGTGACACCTACTAGAATAAAACCATTAGGAGTAGGAAAATCACTTTGCCCTGCTAATGACATTCAGACAATACCGCCTCAGACAGTTCAGGTACAATAAAGGGAAGAAATCCCCAACACAGAATTAGTCTGCTATATCCACTCATCAAAATGAGTCTCCAGAGATGGGGGTGGGGTCAGTGAACTCTGCCTCATCTCTGGACCGATAAATACATAAGGAACCCCCAAACACACTGGCCTGAATAGTGGAGTCCTGTGTGAACTGGGACACAAACTGTAGTCACTGCCAACTGCAGCCCTGACGCATATGGAACATCAGTATAGGTAATGAACAGGAAACCTGCGCTGCTTGTCCACATGGACAGCCATCCAGGGTTTCTATATCTGCTCCTGAATTCACCAGTAACTCTAGAGGACTGTAGGAACTTCGAGAAATTCATGGCTGTCACAGGGAGAACACCAGTATAAAACTGGGAAAACCTGCACTCTGTGGACTTGAGAAAATGACAAATCTACCAGTGCCATTGGCTGACTGGTGTAACTATCCAGGATTTCATAGAACCAGAATCAATCTACCAACAGCTGTTCATAGCAGAACTCTTCTAAACAGCAGAGCTGAAGAAAACACATCCACTCCCCTGAGGACACCAGAAAAAAAAGTGAGGCATGTTGGTTGTGGGGGATAACTGTGCTGACCAATGGCTTTTTTTGTTGCAGTGTCCCTTTCTCCAGTAGGTGGCAGTATAACCCAACAGCCGAAGAATTCTTGTGTCCCTCAATGGATGATAAAGGAATCTATATCCTAATGAGAGTCCTAGAGACTAGGCTAATAACCACGTTGTCCACTGTGTGGAGGGGGATTTGGACACCAGTTGGGACACTCTCCTTCCCCAGGGCTGTAAAGGTGGTGATAGACCCAGTTATTGATTATCTACAACAGAGCTGTGTCCTTCAATGAACAAAAGAGAAAAGTGGCTTAGACCAATCTAACGTATCTGTCCCAAACTCCGAAACTTTCATAAGCATCTAGCAATCCTTGCTCAAGGCCATAACCTGACTTCTATGTGAACTTCAGCAACAGACCTGCAGTACCGAAGACCGCCCCACAGAAAGAGTCCCTTTGTACAGCAGCATATACTCACCAAACACCATAACAGAGGTCTATATACATGATTTATTTACACATTTTAGTACAAATCACAGTTCCTTTAACATCATTTTTTTTTTTTTTTAAGAAAATATACATCCATAAAAATAAAAAAACTACTACCAATTAACTCTGTGCACAGGTGCAGCATACAGCACAGTCCAGTGGTTCAAAGGACATTAGAGATTTCCATGCTAGTCAAGCCATGCGTTTGGCACAGAGGCCTGCGGGACACCTATAGAAAAAGAGCTTTGCGCCAAGAGGGTCAACCATGCATGTGTAATAAGGAACGATGCTGGGGTACATAAGACCTGACGCTCCCTTATTCTATCAGTGCAGAAGGGAGAAGACTAGGAGAAGGTGTGTGTGTTAGCTTTCTCCAACTGCTAAATGCATGTAAACAGGCAGGGAGATTGTGGAGGCACAGGAGGTGGGAGGAGGCACTGGTGGTGATGGCTGGTTTTGGTGAGATATAAATAGCTGTATCGGCAGCATCCATCCAACAGTGAGGTCAAACTATACCAGCCCTGTCTGCCTCCCCCTCATCAGATGCTGTGGGGGCAATAGACACCACAGTGCTAAGCTGTGCAATCAGAAGGGAGAGTTCATGCCAAGTTTGGTTTCAAACTGCAGCTTTTGCCTCTTCTGGTAACGGACACGAACCCTGAAAGAAATCAATCAAAGAGCAAAAGGAAGAAGGCAAAAAATGTCCCGTGTCATCAATATTAAATATGTCTCTAGATGATGATTATAGGGGGGAGTCCGTGACATGATCATCATCTCAAAACCATCCTTCACCAGTCAGAAGCGAGGATATTATTGTTATAAAGAAACCATCAGCTCCATTTTGAAATTCTTTATTGCCTTTACCATTTGAAAAGAATTAGGCAGCAGCTAGCGCAATATTTTCAGTTCCACAGACATCTGATGTCCCCTTATCCTACACACAATCATTGGTATGAATAAAACACTTTTTTAAACGGACATCACATGATGCACCTGCATCGGATGAAGACTTTACTCCTGTACATGCTTATAAAGAATCAATGTATACCCCTTTGGTATTGCGAGCAACATTTAATGTCTAAGGCCACCTCAAGCAATTCCAATGTTTACCTGTCTTGTCTTTCTACTTACTTCCCTTTCCAGCCCACCTATGCCTATACTGATATGTCCTTAAAGGAGAACTATGGGGTCAGTGTTTTTCCCCATAGTTCTCCTTAGGGTAACGGGAGGACACAAACTAGCATCCTCCCGTTACCCTAAGCTCAGTATACCGTGAGCTAGAGCTCGCGGTATACTGAGACGCCGCAGCCGGAGCGGATCCCGACTTGGATGACGGGATCCGCCCAGCTGCGTGAGTGACAGCTGGCTCTGCCTATCTAGAGGCAGAGCCAGCTGTACCCGCCCCCTCCCCCGTCCGTTCCGCCAGTCAGCGCTGGCAGATAGGAGAAGGGAATCCAGCCCCTCCCCCTGTCACGGCAGAGAGCCGTGACAGGATCGAGAGGCGAGCGAACCCGGTATGTGTTCGCTCACCTCCCGATCTACTGAGCCGACTTGTGACAGTCTCATTGTCGGTCGGCTAGAACTATTAGGTGAGTGAAAAGCACTCGCCTCATAGTTCTCTTTTAAAAGGAGATCTTCAAAAAGGACACAAAATAAGGAAGGTAAAGTGTTATATGATTTAAAAAAAGATTGGTACCTTATCTCATGCAGTTTGACGATTTCATTGATGATAAGAACAACAAGGAGCGAAAGTGACCCCGTCAGCCATGACAGTAGGGGGATGTCCCAAAGGCTGAACTTTAGAGAAGAATCAGAGTTTGTCCATAGGTGTAGATCCAGGCCTATCTGTAGTCCTTGTGCGACAACCCTGAGACACAAAATACTATCAAGCAGATAGAAAACACACCCTGAACACTGCACAGTATAGAGAAGCACCTAGTACTCACAAGACAGGAAGACTCAAGCTCCACCATATGTTGCTGAAGGGGCTCCTCCTCCATAGAGGTTTAGAACGATGGACATGACTGACTGAGATAAAGACTGGGAAGAGAGAAAGGATATTCAGAGACAAAGTCCATGCTTCACTCACTTTCTCACAGCTTTGTTAGCAGCTTCTTCTTACCCGTGTGTAGGACAATGAGGCAGGCACAAAACTTCTGAGCTATAAGCAGAGCCCCAGAAAAGGATCCAAACCAGTCTGTGGCACCAAGATCATTACTGAAATCAGAGAATAAGAGGTATTAGACATAACCAAGCACATCACCTTCTGTTGGAGGACATCTGTTCCCTTAAGTGGATTCCTAAATGTCATACCTGTAAACTGGAAACCCAGAGCAATTGGTGGTGTTATTGGGGGAAGAAATCTCACAAAACCTCTGCAGCGAGAACCAGAAGCAGGCCAGACAACAGGAGCAGGAAGGGAGGAACTTGAGCAGGAAACATATCAGGAAATAATGCTGAGTCTAATGATGGAGAAAAGAATTATCCGCACATAGTATGAAGAATCGGATTTCAAAGAGTAACAAAGCCAGAGGAATAATAAGCACATTTCTTAATGAAACTACCACGCCCTCCACTGACATCCTCTAGTGAAATCTAAAGATTCCCTGTCTGGACAAGAACATTATTTATCTTCTCTGTTGCTCATTGTCCCCCATCTAAATGGTGTAAATCAGGGCTGTCCAAACTGCGGCCCTCCCGCTGTGGTGGAACTACAAGTCCCATGAGGCTTTGCAAGATTCTCACAGACATGACTCCCAGAGAGAAATGCTTCATGGGATTTGTAGTTTCACCACAGCTGGAGGGCCGGAGTTTGGACATCCCTGGTGTAAATGCAGAGCTGAAGATGGGTGTCTGACCACAGAGAATTTTGGCAGTCTGTGCCCGGTCCTGGTCTCTTTGGCACATAGAAGTCTCTCATTATTTTTTTCGATGGCAGAGCCAAATGCAGCTCTGGCAGTAACTGATTCATGCACTATAGGGCTCTAAGCAAGATAGTAGATTTGGTCTGCCCTCCATCCCTTTAAATAATAGAAATAAGGATTGCAATAGGCAGAGGGAAAGCATTGCATTTAGAAGGTCTTTACTGGCATGCCCCTGTGAGACACAAACTGCCAACAAGTGCATCCTCTGCACACCCCCACCCCTCCCCCCCAAAATATTGTAATTGAAAGCCACACAGATCAACAACCAAAAAAAAAACGACTCAGGATTATGAAGCCCTTAGCACAGGTTAGACCCCTTTAAGGTTTTCATTACTTTCTATATCCCCATCATTGGGATTTCTCTGCATGTCCTATCCCCAGATACACAACAGGAAGTAAATAGAAGTCTCCCCAAAATGGTGGGAAATCCCAACAATGATCGCAGTTGTCAGATTTACCATCCCCATTGAAAGATAACCCTCCCACCCCTATCCTACTAACAACCATAACACTTTGTATTGTCCTCACTTTTGGTGAGGGTAAGGCCTCATTTGCACTGATAAGAGCTGGCCCGTACAGATCCGTGTAGTGTGCACGGCCATATCGGGCCGCTGCCAGGAAGGACAGGTGCTGTGTGTGATTGGAAGTACGCAGCTGTACGCTTACCCGAACTGCACATCCGTGCGGGTGTCCATACTCGTACGCAGACAGGATGGATCCTGTCTGCGTCTCAGCAAGGACACCCGCACGGATGTGCAGTTCGGGTAAGCGTACGGTGGTGTACTCCCATAGAGAAGAACAGGCTGCTGCGTGCAATCACACGCAGCACTTGTCCTTCCCGGGAGCGGCCCGATATGGCCATGCACGCCGCACGGATCTGTACAGGCCGACTCTTAGTAGTGTGAATCTAAATCTCCACAACAGAGACACAACACAGATCACAATATAAACCTGACAGGGACTCTTTACCCTCAATCCCCTCTAACAGAGATTCCTCACCCCCAATTTATTCTATCCAATGTATTGACTAGAATTCTTCATCAACTCCTACATGGGATTGCTAAAAAGGCACCAACAATACCAGCATTATCTTAAATATTGCCCATTCTGAGAACTCCTCAAGCTTTTACATCTTTACTAGAATGTCTTCTCTGCCAGCATGTGATCTGTGTTTACTGGCCTTTCAACTCCCATGAACAGTCAGAAGCCAAAATGTATCAATATTACTTTCATTGATGAACAAAAATAAACAGTTGGCATACAGTGTTCATCTCCAGATCACAGTGGTTAACTACAGATCTATCGATTTAGGATACAGTTACCTTTTTCGGTATGGAACGGAGATTTTTTCCAGTTGCTACGAACATTATGGCGTTGTCAGATGGCTTCCCAAGCAGCGAGACACTGTATATAGAAACAGAGGATGCTTTGCTAATCAGTATTTAACCAGTTCAGCTCTCACACCTGGATACCCCCTAACAACCAGAGCGATTTTTACATTATTACCGTGGGCCTGTTTTTTCAGCAATAACCTTGTCGTCATTTTACAATCTCACAATTTAGTTTACTAACACACTATATTACCAAAAAGTATTGGGACGCCTGCCTTTTCATTCACATGAACTTCAATGGCATCCCAGTCTTAGTCCGTAGGGTTCAATATTGAATTGGCCCACCCTTTGCCGCTAGAACAACTTCAACTCTTCTGGGAAGGCGTCCACAAGGTTTAGGAGTGTGTCTATGGGAATGTTTGACCATTCTTCCAGAAGCGCATTTGTGAGGTCAGGTACTGATGTTGGACGAGAAGGCCGGGCTCGCAGTCTCCACTCTAATTCATCCCAAAGGTGTTCTATCGGGTTGAAGTCAGGACTCTGTGCAGGCCAGTCAAGTTCCTCCACCTCAAACTCGCTCATCCGTGTCTTTAGGGATCTTGCTGTCATGTTGGAACAGGAAGGGGCCATCCCCAAACTGTTCCCACAAAGTTGGGAGCATGAAATTGTCCAAAATGTCTTGGTATGCTAATGCCTTAGGAGTTCTCTTCACTGGAACTAAGAGGCCAAGCCCAACCCCTGAAAAACAACCCCACACCATAATCCCCCCTCCAACAAACTTTACACTTAGCACAGTGCAGTCAGGCAAGTACCGTTCTCCTGGCAACTGCCAAACCCAGATACGTCCATCGGATTGCCAGACAGAGAAGTGTGATTCGTCACTCCAGAGAACACGTCTCCACTTCTCTAGAGTCCAGTGGCGGCGTGCTTTACGCCACTGCATCCGACGCTTTGCATTGCACTTGGTGATGTAAGGCTTGGATGCAGCTGCTCGGACATGGAAACCCATTCCATGAAGCTCTCTACACACTGTTGTTGTGCCAATCTGAAGACCACACAAAGTTTGGAGGTCTGTAGCTAATGACTCTGCAGACAGTTGCCGACTTCTGCGCACTTCAACATGCGCTGACCTCGTTCTGTCATTTTATGTGGCCTACCACTTCGTGGCTGAGTTGCTGTTGTTCCCACTTGCTTCCACTTTGTTATAATACCACTGACAGTTGACCGCGGAATATTTAGTAGCAAGGAAATGTCACAGAACACCTGAATCCAAAGATTTGGAGGGGTGTCCCAATACTTTTGGCAATATAGGGTATGTATTAAGATTGTAGTCCATCATGGTACCGACCTTGGATTGGTGACTACTTTACAACACACACAGGGACTAACTCCTGAGTTTAGGGTCACTTTAAAGGAGAACTATGACTTAAGGGCAAATAAAAATACCCCTTACCTTGATTGTAGTAGCATCGTTCCTTTTTTTCTAAATTCGCAGCACATCACAGATAAAACCCTCAAAGCTGTAGTAAATGGCTGTCTTCAGCCATGCTCCAAGCTCCTTTCCTCTTAGGGGGCGTTAACATTTGATCCAGCCCGCCCACGGCTTTTTTTTCAAATGATATCATTGCTGTGGCCGCGCTTCCTCTCATCGTGCACAGCTGTGTTTTGTCAGCTCGTGCACGCAGGCTCCTTCCCCTCTCTCTCTCTCTGCATGCCCTGCGTGACGCTGACATCCTCAATTCACTGGGGATCGCTGAAGAGAGGGGAAGGAGCACTCTCTCTCTCTTCAGCATTTACTACAAATCGTAAAGTCCATATATGGTAAATGATGTCACTGGAGATCCCTGCTGATCGGATCCGATCAGCAGGGATCTCCAGTGCTTCCTATAATGCCCTCTTTCAGTGTTGTGAAGTCTGCTCTCATCCCCCTTCCCAATCACTTGGTTGGTGTCTTCCAGGCCCAGAGTTCAGAACACATACACAGTACATTGTGCGGTGCCGAATCATTCCCCACATCTGCAGGACATAGAGTGAAGCTGGGTGTTGAGATAATGTAAATCCAGCTTGCATGCATAGCAGTTACCTCGTCCCCGTATGCCAGCTCCTTCCCCCCTCTCTCTCTGCTGACAGATCGTGGATCGCTGATGACAGAGGGGAAGGAGCTCTCTCTCTCTCTCTTCCGCATTTACTACAAATCGGAAAGTCCATATATGGCAAATGATGTCACTGGAGATCCCTGCTGATCGGATCCGATGAGCGGATGCGATGAGCAGGGATCTCCAGTGACATAATTTACCATATATGGACTTTGCGATTTGTAGTAAATGCTGAAGAGAGAGAGAGAGAGCTCCTTCCCCTCTGTCATCAGCGATCCACGATCTGAGAGAGAGAGGGGGGAAGGAGCTGGCACACGGGGACCTGCAGGTAAGGAGAGAGCTGCTGCGCATGTCCATATATTCGTGGACGCGCAGCAGCTCTCAAGAATCACTGTCAGTCATCAGTGGGGAGGATCCCGTCAGATACGTCAATATGTCTTCTCATTGCGGCGCTTAGCCCCGCCCACCACCTAAAATAAGGTTTTACAGCCTTCCTGTGCATTTTGGCTAATTACAGTAAATTACATAATTTACTTATTTAGCCTAAGGAATGCATTCATAAAAAAAGATGGAACCCCATAGTTCTCCTTTAAGGAACCAAAGTGAAAAAAAATAAAATTATGGGATATATGTGGCTATCCACTCCTGGACTAGCTCCACCTTAAGATTACAGCAGCTTCTGAGGAAATTCTTAAATGTCCTGTTTGCCTATACCCCAAAATTTTTATAAAATTTTCTACTTTTTGGAATAACGAGTGAGAAAGGCCAGTGTTGCCCTTTTCTGTTTATGAGTACTGAAATATTTGAATGTTGCTCCTTATGTATCATCTCCTCATGAGTACTGTTAATCTTTTTATATGCCGGATTGCATAATTATTACCCTAGTATGTCGATTTGTTCATCTGTTTCCGGCTGTTTATTAAGTTGTTGTAATGAATGTCTTTGATCAGAGATAATACATAGGCACGCTTGTCTATTTACACATGTGACTTTATTCCATGCTTAATCATAATCTTAATTATACAAGGTTCGTAATACGTACAATGGAACTCTTTACAAAATGTAAGGCATAGTTACTTGGTGTTCCAGACTGTACGTTATATTAGTTTATGCTTATTTCTATTTTTGTATGTAAAGGAAAACTTAATAAAGTAAAAAAAAAGAAAGCAAAATAAGCCAAAATGATTGGCAGGAAAATAAGAGTTAAGGATAGAAGGTAAAGAAGGAGCTTAATTAGGGTAAACTAAAAGGAGTTACTCACCTGAGTAACGGGTAACAGAAGCAGGACAACCATAAAATATCCGTAGTGCTCAGTAAAGGAGGTAGCTGGAGCAAGCAGGCCAGAAACTAAAGAAGAAAACAAACTTTCATATAACTTCCATTACACAAGGTGTTCAGAAAATAAAAAAGTTTCATCAAAACTGAACTTTGGACATAGAAACAGATCCACAAATCGAATGCATATAAGTGAACTTTTTTTTTCTACTGAAGGATTGGTATTTCTATTCAGCCAGTCTTCTGATCCAAACCCCCCTGCAGACAGCACAAGCAGGTCCTGGTCCTCCCCACAGGCTGACTTACCATGCCTTGTTGTGTACTGGGTCACTGTGTGAAAGCAGCCATCAATTTCAGAGCCTCTAGCAAGAGCAGTGAGCAGCACACTATTAACATCACTACATTTCACTCAAAATCTCCTGAGAGTAAGAAGGCAGAAGTGCCTTAGATCTACCCTGCCGGTGCACAGCTATCAGGCTGTAGGCTCAGAAGTACTTAGGCACATACCAGGAACTGCACTGCTATTTTCAGGAGGGATGTAAAAAACATTTCTAAATGTTCCCCCCAAATGTCAACTCTTCACTTTTGAGTTCAGGTCCACGTTAATCCTGTTATCCTGAGGGTACGTTCACAACAGATGCAGTGCGTTTCGGCCCGATTCTGGCCACAACGCACTGTATCGCATTGCAGCCGGCTCACTTTTTTGCGGGGCAGGAGGGGGCGTGGCGGGCCATTGAAGTGAATGGCACCGTAGCCACGCCCTCCGGCCGCAATGCGATCGTCTGCACGGGATCGCAAGGCACATGCATATATGCATACTGACAGCGGGAAGGAGTTCATGTTTTAATTAACACAACTGAAATGTATTTTTACATCTTGCCTGGAGTTCGGCTTTAACATGATTTTTTTTAGTTACTGTCTCACTTACCTGTACAAGGACGAGGGTTAACTGACATTGTAATAGAAATAGGAAGCATTTCCTTATACCATATGTAGCGTTACGAGCCTGGAAAACAAACCATAATGAACAATGCTCATTACATAGAAAGACAATTAGCTGCCAATACATATGATCTGCTGAGAAACCAGTTGTTTTCTTCTAAGCCATCATAGGCTGCTTATAAATTGCAAGTTGGTGACATTGTTCCAAGGATCATACTGCCTGTGTTCTATCTAAAGTTCCAACTTATCGAGTTCTCCAACTGCCTGACTTCCGGTTTAGTTAGAACGAAGAGGTTTGGCCAAGAAAGCTCTTCTGCACGAGCGCCAGCCGCGGCATTGACCTATACACATACACCACAGCAGTGAAGTATGAAAATGAACTAGGATCACACTAATCCAGCATGTTATTAATCTCAGGTGCCCCACTCAATATGACTGCCGCTTGAGTGGGGCACCTGAGATTAATAACGTGCTGGATTAGTGTGATCCTAGTTCCCCGTGCCTTTGTGGAGTCTGTTACTGACCTGTTCAATAAGACGGATGATGCTAACACTGTCCTCATTTCTAAAGGACATGGAGCAGGCCAAGCTGGTCAGAGCAGCAGAGAGATGTAGTGGAGACGGATCCTCTGAAATGTTTGTCATTAGAGGGCCACTAACGTATCCAAACATTTCCCATGAACAGCGAGAGGGGAATAGCGGGTCCAGAGAAATGCTATGTGAGATGCAAGACAAAACTTGAGTATGAACCAGAAAAACAGAAGACAGGCATAGCAAAGGAATACAACTGAGGTAATATCACATATCAATTCAAACAAGGAAATTTCCATGCAACTGCTGCAGCTATTACAAAGCCATCATGGTACAAGGCTACTCCTGAGCACTTTCAATAAAGGTAAACAACATTTTAACTGACTTCTGAATACTATGGAGGTACTGTACTGCACTGCTTTTCGTGGTATTTAAGTATTTCAAGTGAAATTAAATCAGCAGCACTTCACTTTGAATCCAATCAAATGGCAACCGATATAGAAAATAAACAAAGATAGGGAGTAACTGCAGTAAGGAATGCAGCTGACCTGATATCACTCTGTAAGAATAAGTCACTGTTTCTGAAGTTTGCAGAACTTCCCATACAGCAGGTCACCTCCCCATACTCCTGCATGATCTGGATCATCTCATACATAGCTAGGGAACAAAGGAATATTAGCAAAAGAAAAACTCCAATAAACCAAATCTATCTTTTACAGCCTTCTCTGCTTTACCCACTTTCTGGTGTACAGTCTGTAAACAGCGGTACCAGCAAGGGAACATTATCAATGTTCTGCAGATGAGGCCTTACTTGATGGATACCACGTGGGAGCTTTGCCTATAGATAGATAAGGAAAATTAGTGCAAAAGATTACCCCAAAATTTCAAGTCCTGAGCTACTAGCCAGGCCTTTAGAGTTACTCGCCACCAGTTGCCCCACCTAACCCCTACGCGGCCTTAACTCCGCCCCTAAACACACCCTCTTAAATTATGTTATGATAGTTGCCACTTCTAAATGGCAGATTAGGGATTCCTGCTGCAGGAAAACGCAAATTCCTGACACAAGAATACCTAATCGTACTTGAAATATAGGCGAGAATGGGGCCTAATATACACACACAAATAATACATCCCCCCCCCCCCGCAAGCCCCCTCACCTGCTTACATCTTTGTAGGGAGGGGAGGAGGAAATCTCTGGTGATCCAGTGGTGATTAGACCTTACTAATCCATCCTTTCGTCAGGAGCTCAGAACTGTCAGAACGCTGGCCGAAAGGATCCGAGTGCCAGCAGTGACAGGAGCAACTCTGCGGTCTGCATACAACGGAGATGCCGACCGTGTATCTGCTCCTGCAAGTCAGGTACCCGGTCCATGACCTTGAGCCTGACTTGTAAGCTGACTGCGGGCCACATAGTTCCGGTTCGCGGGCCAGAGACCCCAATTTCCACTCGCCCTCACTTTATTTCCAGTAGCCAAATGCGAGCAGGCAGATGGAAATTTTGGACCCTGCCAAAACTTAAAACAGCCATTAACGCTCAGTAGCTCAGTCAAAGTAAAAAATTAAAGTTTTTTCTTACTCGATTTGAATCCTCTAGAAAACTGGGAACATCACTATCTGTAGGATGAAAACTAATCATATCTGAAGGACCCTCATCATCCATCAGTAGCAAGACCTCTGCATCTTCTCGAGAACCTAGAAGTGTCATGAGGAAACCAGTCATTTGTTTGCACAATTACTAAATCACTGTCCAAAGACAAAAGCGAGATGGCAGGATAGAGAACATTGTGAGGAGACCATGCCACAAGAATTACCATTTTTGCTCACCCTGATGTAGGTCATCTCGCAGAGATCCGGCATTACTGGGACTGGATGGTGGTACCATAGATCCAGTCCCGTGACCGTTTGGAGTTAGAGAAATGTGACAGTTCCATCCAGTCTCTAGGCCCATCTTCTCTGCGAATACCTGAGTAGACAGTAAGAACGTGTACATGACTAAACATAAAAGAGTTTTCTGGTTAATGTTTAGATTGCTCCAATCCCCACTTGAACCTCTTCAATACTGGTTCCTATAAATTCTACAGGATACAGAATGCATCTTAATATGGAAGCATCTATATAGCTGAGCCACATCCCTCCGTGTTTATATTAGTCCTTTACAACCTACAATAGGAGGTAGTCAATCTGGGCACTCCAGCTGCTGCAGAACTACAAATCCCATGAGGCATTGCAAGAGTCTGGCAGCCACAGGTATGACACCTAGAAGCAGAAGCATAATGGGATTTGTAATTTCATCACAGATGGAGTGCCAAGGTTGCCTACCCCCTGATCTACAAGTTTAACAACCTGTCTTCTGCTTTCAATCAATGAGGTGTATGAATTGAAAACATATTAGTTATTTCTCTCACCTCAATAAATCATAACTTCAGGTCTACAAAATGACTATGACAGCTGTTCAATGGACTTATCACAAGGGGCCGTTTGTCTTATATCTTCTCTGCTTTAATATGGTATCTGCCTCAAATTCATAGTTCTGGCACTTTTGATTTGTTTAATAATGTAGCAGTGTTGCTATAGGGAACAGAATTAACAGTTGCACCCTCATCTCTAGGTCCGCATATATATGAGGAAATAAAGTGTATAAAAACAGACGAGGAAGATTTGCACTTAGCAGAACAAATTACATTTAACATTTCAGGAGAGCTCTGGCATTCATTTAGGCTGTTTCCGTACTTTTAATAAAGATGGCTTTACTTGAGATCACCTTAACCTGCTTGGTTTTTTTTCAGAAAGCAGAATTAATCCCGTAAATTCAGGTGAACCTGTGATTTCCCCATTGCCGTTAATTGGAGAGAGTAACATTAACATGCTCCTTCACATCTGGAAGTATCAGCAATTAGCAGAGCAGTAGGGGAGAAAAGCATATGCAAATATGTACTGCTGGGGAATGGGGGGGGGGGGGTGTCACGGTACAAGTCTGTTTATGACTTTTTCACAAAGTATTCTGGTTCCATGGAAAGTGAACACAACCTCTCACACAGGTGGCTGGGTGAGAACCAACAACTATGAAGATTGTCCATTTTACAGCTGATAATTTTTTTGAAGGGGCCAATATGTTTGATTGGTTCCATTTGTTTTCACTTATATTTTGACAAGTTTCACTTATTAGGGGACAACTCTTTAATAAAACACAGGACACAATTGTGATTATAATCCTATTTTTTGTATTCCTTTTACCACACACAGTATTGGATCATCTATTCAAAATGAAAACTGTAATTGTATTCCTCTTTCTTGGGGATTCCGTAAAAACCTTATTTATATTAAAAAAAAAAAAGTAAGACTTCCTTTCTTACCTTGCTCCTAAGTTCATCATCCATGGAGAAGTACACAAATCGGATGCAGGCATTCACTAAACCATCTATAAGACGCACAATATCCAGACGAGCCTGGTACTGTGACGAGACCATCCCCATAAAGATTTGGCCACCGAGAGCCTGTGTAAAATCCTCTGGGACTTCTCCAATGCCTTCTGCGTTAAAGTAGAGAAAACAGGACAAGAGGATACAAAGAGAGGAAGTAGAAACAAAGGGAAAAATCAGAGAGAGCATAACGAGGAACTGCCAAGATGCAATGATGTATTCCTAAACGGCCTTCAATTCAATAATCTTACTAGTAAGCCTTAAACTATGTGATGATGATCTATCTGACCTACACAGTCTTACAATAGCAGAATTTGTTGCTATGGTTTACTGCAGTTAATAAGAAGTCTTTATTACATAATACACATATTTTAAAGGTAAACATTTTCTTCTAGAAATATGGAGACTTCCATTGTTAAGTTCTTCAGAACATGTAAGCTGCCTGGCTGTTATGCTGAACCTTTTGCTTAAATGCTTTCTGCAATCACTGACCCAGAATCACCATGCACATCAGCAAAGTCAGTGAAAGTTCATAAAGTCCTTATCTGCATACTTGCTCTGGAAAAGTCACCCAAAGTACAGATTCAAGAGAATCAACATGACAGCCAGGTATATAGCATTTGCAGAAGGAGTACGCAGCAATGGTAGCTATGATGCTTTCCTTTAGGAAAGATGAAAAAGATAACATGGTATAGGATGTTTTGCAGCATGTTCAATATTGGTTGCTTGCTCACCATCAGAGCTCCAGCTGTCATGGCGGCCAGAAGGTTTCAGTGGCACAGTTCCCCCTAAATCAAATGACGCTGGTATGGTGCTGTGACCAGGAGCATGGTGCATCTCTATGCACTTTCCGTGTAGTTGAGGGGACAGCGAGAAGTGCATGGGCTTGTAGGAAAAGGCAGAGCAGAAACCAGACAAGCAGGCTCGCTGGTAGAAATCCAGCACCTTTTTCCTGAGATACATGATAAATAAGAATGAGTGTACTATGCAGGCAGGAAACAGACATGCACAACGAAATTAGCAAATATGAACTGTGGATTACAGAGAAAAGCTAAAAGGCAAATGGAGAATTGAAGACAAGCTTTTGCCACATTTTAAAAATATACGCATTTTCTAAGGATCCTGCCATTAGGAGATAATATTAAGAGGCGTACCTGTCAGACCCAGAGAGAGGGTAAATATCAGCTCCGTCCCAGAAATCGGTACAGGCTTCAAGGATAATATCAGCTGTTCCATGGGACAGCATCTGCTCTGTGTCTGAGAGTTACAGGAACAACAAGTGAAAGTTATCAATATATACAAAGATAATAAAAAAAAGATAATAATAAAAAAATTATGCTAGCAGAGGAATAGAAAGGCATAGAACATGGCTACAAAGGAATATTACATACAAAAGAAAAGGCATGCAGTGTAATGCTTTAAGTGGCCATCAAACAAGAATGAAATTAAGTCCACTTACTGGATGTGACATCCTTGACAAAAAGGCTGATCATTTGGCTGAGCGGCGGTCGTCGCTTGGGACCCGTTTGAAGCTTGCAAAGAAGAGACTCCTTCACAGTTTCATCACTTGGAAGGTGATACAGAGCAACATGATTTTGCAGTTTAAACAAGTCCTTGGCTCCAGGTGTGAAACCTACATATAAATCACAAGGTAAATGAGCAAAGTGAGAAAAATAATTAGCTATTAAAAAAGTAAACATTAAAAGGGAGATAATATTAAATCAATCATACCGATGAGCCTAGAAAAGTCGCAGAGTCCCCATGGGATATGTCCTGGGAGCACAGAGCAGTGGGTTTCTTGAAGGGCAATGTGCTTTAAATGATCAGAAAAGCGACAAAGGGTGTTGGTCACATTTGGGTTACAGAGGTTGAGCAGCACATTAAGACCCAGAGGTTTCAAAGAGCTCAGGTGAAGCGGCCAGTTGGACTCATCAAATTGGATACTTTGAGGATTCTGCTGGTCCTGCGACAACCGGAGCATCTCTAGATGGCAGTCACAAACAAAATCATCCGCCTCGTTGTTTAGCTACAAGGAAAGTACAAAAAGTACAAACGATAAATACAGACAACAAAAACATATGCATACCAACATAGGGACATGGTTAAACCTTAATTTATATATTTTTAAGACCGAGTACCGATGCTTTTGATCAAGTACTCGCAGATACCAATTACCGATACTTTTTCTTAAAAGGGACAGGTCACATTTTTTCTAAAGCAATACAAACTAATGCTTTAAGGTCACTTTCTTAATATTATGAATGCCGGGCGCTGCGTCATTACACGGCGCCCGGCTGCCGGATTTGCTAGCTTCCTGACCAATCGGGAAGCCGGGCAGTGCGTCATTGCACGCTACCTGGCTTCCTGATTGGCCGGGAAGTCGGCTCCATGCTCTCTCATCACAAGTGATGAGAGAGCATGGAGCCGTTTCCTGGCCAATCAGGAAACCGGCAGCAGGTAATGATGCGCTGCCCGGCTTTCTGATACAGGAAGTACTCGTGCTAGGTATCGGAGCATTTGGCCGAGTATACTAGTATCCGTATCGGTGCATCCCTATTATCGACAATGGCCACCAGGAGTAATAGAGAGGGTGAATCTCCCCATCAGTTACACGACAATAATACAAAAAAAAAAAAAACTGACAAAGGTTTTAACCCCTTACCATTCTATCTAAAATTATAAAATGGCTTTCGATTGACTTTAAAGTGCATCAGTATGTTGGATGTATGCATTCCAGTTGTTATACAGTGTGGAACACAAATTAATAGAGGTGCGCCGAAATAGAAATTTAAAAACTGAAACACAAAAAGTCAGGCTGAAACCGAAAATGTTTTTAATTTTTTTCAAATTTTAATATTTTATTTTTTATAAACTTTTACATTTTTTTATATTTATTTTTATTTATTTATTAATTTATTAAATATTTTTATTTTTTACTTTACTTTTAGGGGTTTCGGGGAAATATCAGGGGTCTAAACAGACCCCTGATATTTCCCTTTTAAAATTCAAAAAGAGATTTAGAACACAGAGTCCTCAATCTCTTTTTCTGCATCCCCTGTTATAAATGATCAGGAAACCTCTATACTGAGTGTTCCTGTTCATTCATAACATGAGGACATTGAGTATGATTACTATAACTACAATTATGAATGAACAGGAGGGGATGTACATCACTTCCCACTTATTCTTAATTGAGGATATAGTCAACATACCATGTCCTCAATTATCTAAAAACACACATTTTTATTAACACACACACAATTATCATAAAAACACACATCGCTGAGTGTTTGCTCTCGCTCTCCTCTCTGACACGCTGTCACAGGAGGCTGAGCGAGCGGAGCAGAGCCCAGCCTCCTGTGACAGCGTGGGCTGTCTTCGCCCCCACACTGCTCTGCCGGACTGTGATAGGCGGCTGAGCGGTGTGGGAGGAGAGACACCGGCCGCTCACAGCGCTCTCCTCCTGCAGCGCTTGGCCGGCTGACACTTTCTCTCCTCACCGCTGGGACACAGAGCTGCGCCCAGTGGGGAGGAAAGAAACCTGGGATGTATCGGCAGGAAAATGGCACTTTCGGCATTTAGCCAAAAGTGCCATTTCCGGCCGATACGTTTCAGCGGCCGATATATCGGTGCATCCCCACAAATTAAGAATTTAAAGCAGTAGTGAACATAGTAAGCATACTTGCACATTTTCATACACTTACAAATGTGACCTTCTGCAGCTCTGTTGGATCCATCTTTGGTCCTGCCGCAACCACTTCCGGGTTCTGTGGCCATGGGGTGGCCACTGATGATGTAACACACAGCAGTTACAACCTGCCCGGCATCAGGCCCATTCACGGTATCTTAAAGATGCCATGAATGAGCAGTGTGCACACTGCACAAAGTATGCATCGTACAGTGTACACACAAAAAAAATAACAAAAACACTAGAAGAGGGGATACACTTCTGCCAGAAAACCATACCTCCTTATTTTTTTATTTACCTTCTGCTTCAAAAATAGTGAAGAGAAGGCAATAAAGAAATACTACAGAATAAATTACCTGCCCAGCAGTGTCTTGACTGAAGCTTACATTAGAACCTGAGGGATGTTTGTTTCGGCTCTGAGGCTTTTTCTGTGTATCAGTCGGTCTGGAGAGATCACTTGAACGTTCATCATTCTCTTGTTCATTCTCCACTTGTACAACATCTGTGTCTGCCAACAAGGCTACCATTTCCTGTGGCTGTGGAGACAAGCAAGGTGAAACAGGAATAGTGCAATGAAAAACATTAAATGGAATAACATTGTCAGGGTGAAAAAAAAAAATATGTTTGTAGCACCTCGTCTCCCACCATCTCTGTTTGACAGTAGGTGTGTAAAGATAGCTGGTCAGTAACATCCTCGTTTCTTTCAGTGGCCTGATCCACTCTACCACTGAAAAACAGGACTGTATCTGGACTGGGATTGGGCCAGGAGAGAACACCTTGCTTGTCTACACAGCAGATGACCTGTAAGACAAGACAACTATTACCCAAGCTGTTTCAGGTAATGTGGATCTTGGAACCATAAGACAGACTTGATGAACCTGGGTTCCAGCACTTCTAAGATCCAAGGTAAAAGTATTCAAAAAGCATCTATCATGAGTCCACCACCTGCAATATACTGCTGTGTGCTCTATATGTCAGTGTGCTGCTGGACAAGACCACCACCAATATTCTCAGGAACTGCCCGGGTGGCAAAATAAACATACTGTATCTGCTCTTTATCATCAGCTAGCCAATTCCTCTGATAATCAGTAGTGTCTGACAGCACATTATTGACCATCATGATTGACGCAATTCACCAAGTGGTGGACATGAGTTGGAATCAAAAAGGGTCACCTTAGATTAGAAATGTTGGAACCATGGCAGTCATCTTGGTTTGACTAAACTGTGTTAATATAAAATAGTCAAAATTCTTACTCACTGTAACAGACCCCAGGCCATGCAGCAAACCAGAAGTATATGACAGCGTGTCGCATTTTCCACTTACAACACGCAGGAAGTGCGTACACACAGAGCGCAACATTTCCTGTACAAGAGATTACTGCATGTTATAAACGAGGGAGCTAAAATTAGGAAAGTACAACAAAATACAATAAAAAAACTGAATGCAGGACTTAAAGAAAACTTGGGCTTTCCCAATGCAGGGCAGAGGAATGTTTCCTTTATCCCCCGTGCCCAGCAGATCATACCCAACATACATTCGCTTCCCAAGCACTCTGTTTAGCTGCTAGGAGCAAATAAGATATGATAAGCAAGGAACTCACTCCACATAAAAGCGTTGAGCCAATCACCAAGTACCATGTTGTTACATGGGGAGAGTCCATAGCCTTGTGTAAACTATGGCTTGAACGACTTATAGCTTACACTGGGCTACCTCACAGACTCAGTGAGTTGAAAGGGATCAAAGTAAGGAGAGTAGGAAGGCACCGATATATTGGCCGCCGAAACATGTTGGCCGAAAATGGCACTTTTGGCTAAATGCCTAAAGTGCCATTTTCCTGCCGATACATCGGCGCATCCCTGCTTTCTTTCCTCCACGCTGTGCGCTGCTCTGTGTACCAGTGGGGAGGAGAGAAAGTGACAGCCGGGCGAGCGCTGCAGGAGGAGCGCTGTGAGTGGCCGGTGTCTCTCCTCGCACACAGCTCAGCCGCCTATCACAGTCCGGCAGAGCGGTGTGGGGGCGGAGACAGAAGGCTGGGCTCTCCTCCCTGCAGCGCTCGCTCAGCCTCCTGTGACAGCATGTCAGGAAGGAGATGAGTGCAAACACTCAGCGATCACTGAGTGTTTGTAGATAATTGAGGACATGGTATGGTTACTATATCCTCAATTATGAATGTATGGGAAGTGATCTACATCACCTCCTGTTCATTCATGATTGTGGTTATAGTAAACAATGTCCTCATGTTATCAATGAACAGGAACACTCAGAGGATTCCTGTTCATTTATAACAGGGGAGACAGAAAAAAAGATTGAGAACTCTGTGTTCTAAATCTCTTTTTGAATTTTAAAAGGGAAATATCAGGGGTCTGTTTTCCCCAAAGCCCCTAAAAGTAAAATAAAAAATAAATTAAAAAAAATATTAAAAAAAATAAAACGTTTATAACAAATAAATAAAAATAAAGTATTTAAAAATGTGAAAAAATTAAAATAAAAAAACATTTTCGGTTTCGGTCTGACAATTTTTTTTAATTTCAGTTTCGTTTCGGTATTTTAAATTTCTATTTCGGTGCACCTCCAAAGGAGAGTAAGTGCTTCTGGCTTTATACTGAATCACTAGCCTTGAACAAGCACACAGCCAGCTGAGTCTGAAAAAGTCTACAAACATCCTGCAATACTTATTCTAGATCAGTGACTTCCTAGAGAGTGAAACCAGTAACAGGATAATAGCCCTGGAGTCTAACCTCTGGGAACAAGTTGGCCCTCGCAGCTCCCATATACCTATATTTAACTGCAACATGATACAAAGTATGAAGCATTGCATTCATTTAAAGGACAAACACAGATCCTTCTACTACTATGTGTATGCTAACCTGATTAGAGACAACTTCTGTGTAGCTGCTTAAAGTATCCTCCGAAAACTTAGCCACCTGGGAAGGAGGACACAGACATTACTGACAGAAGTTATATAAATGTTATCACAGAAAAATACTGGAAACAGAAAATAGGAATATTTACCAGAGAGGTAGGGCAGTTTCTGTTCATTTGGGCTAATACACGAGCTTCGCATAGAGCAGTAACTAGAATCCACATAACAGGGAATAGAAGAGGAAGAACTGGTAGCACCGCATTCACCTAAATATATAGGAAAGTGCACAGTTTACAAGTGTACATTAATTCTTCAAAAATACATAAACAAATATAAAAGATTTGAGCACAATAGTATACATATCAAAAAATACAAATGGTCATACCAGTTCCATCATAAATGAAAGATCCAGAGACTAAGTCAGGGGTGTCAAACTCAATTTAATCGTGGGCCGCATCAACATTATGGGTGCCCTCAAAGGCATCTGTAAGACTATATAAATGTATCTAACCTTTATCATAATTGCCTCTGCATTCGATCACTGGTTTTAGTAATAACTTAAAGGAGAACTATGGGGTTAAGGCTTTTCCCCATAGTTCTCCTTAGGGTAACTTTATACATACTAGCGTCCTCCCGTCACCCTAGACTTAGTATACCGCGAGCTGTAGCTCGCGGTATACTGAGACGCCGCAGTATACCGCAAGCTGCTGCTCGCGGTATACTGAGACGCCGCAGCTGAAGCGGATCCCGACAATTGTGCCAGGATCCGCCCAGCTGCGTGACTGACAGCTGGCTCTGCCTATCTAGAGGCAGAGCCAGCTGTACCTGCCCCCTCCCCCGTCCGTTCCGCCAGTCAGCGCTGGCGGATCGGAGCGGGGAATCCAGCCCCAGCAGAGAGCCGTGACAGGATCGAGAGGTGAGCGAACGCCAGTATGTGTTCGCTCACCTCCCGATCTACTGAGCCGACTTGTGACAATTTCATTGTCACAGGTCGGCTAGAACTATGAGGTGAGTGAAAAGCACTCACCTCATAGTTCTCCTTTAATACCTAGATCTGAAAGTAGAAGTCTATGAAATGGCCTGGTGGGCCGGATTCGGCCCCTGGGCCTTGAGTTTGACACATGTGGACTAAGTGATGTTCTTTGCAATTGTTAAACACCATATCTCAGGACTGGCTGAACAGAATTACAAATGTGGCAGATAAACCGGTCACATATATTTCAAGTGTATTTAATTCAGACTAAAAGAAACCCTGAAAGAACTTGAAGGTTACTATTGCTGATTGTTCGTCACAATGACTGCCGTGGGGGTCAAACTTCCCGGTTCAATTTTTTTGGGCAGAAAGCGGACAGAAAACTTAAAGAATAGGGGAGGGGGCAGATTCCTCTTGCATAATAAATCTAACACCTGATGACAGGGAAAGTTGTGCATAACCCCCAAAATGTGTTGGCCGTCAACTATTGTTCTTTATTGTTTTGCATTTTTTTAAAAATGATTTGTGGGCAGCCTTATCTCCTCGCCAAACGTCAATCGCAAAACCGATTTGTGTCGGAGAAACATGTTGGAAAATTGTCAAGCGAACTCTTTGTGTATTCTGACAGTGGCTGTCACAATACAATGGACAAAGCAGGAGATTCAGCCATCCACACTTAGCTGGATGAAGGTTTTTTTGATGTTCAGCTTCGCAGGGTGAAGAAAAAAAAATTAAATATATATCCGTGTGTATCCGGATTTAGAAATCACAGTTTTGGATCAATAATTTAAATTAAAAAAAAAAAAAAGGTTTTGAAGTGGTTTAGCTGTAAAGTTTAAAAAAGTTTTCCCAATGGAGGCATGGTTCTGTATGTAAAAGAGCGCTATATTTTGAAAATGGTCCTCAGGGTCCTCTTTTATGTACATACCCAATACCCTCAGAAATAATCCTTCCATAACCGATACCCAAGTAGGCCCTCAACATGTCAAGCTATGCTTATTTGAGTATGACCTCCCACTATATGTCACTAATCATCACACAACTAGGCCCTCTATTATTAATTCATTCAAACGTTGCGGCTCACTAAACAATTTCACGCTGAAATATTCCAAACAAGAACTTTTAAATATATTTATTTACTCACCAAAACACACTTGGTTTTCAGAACTTCACTTTTAAAAAGTGCTCACACTCCCTAAAATACCTGGGGATTCATGTATCGCAGACATTTCTCAGCTATACGCCCTGAACCTCTTTCTACACAAAAATCTTTTTCCAACCTTAAGAAATATGATCGAAATTCATGCTCTTGGCCTGGTAGACTCAATGTCTTCAACACAAATAGAATACCAATATTACTATATGCATTCCAAAAAGTCCCTATCTCTGGCTCCATAACCAATCCTCCAAACCATGGGTCCATGTTGAGCGAATCTTCAAACCCTTTAACCTTCAAGCCCTACCTAGCATCAACCCAAAATACAGAAGGAGGATCTTTCATCTTATACACCTTCCCCCTTTCCCTGTTTAATTATCTCCACCCTTTCACCACTACTGCCCTCTTCATACTCTCAAAAATTATTTATGGGACTACTTCACCTGAACATTAATACTACGCATACCCACTTAACCAACTCCATAACAAGCACTGAAAGGCCTATGCCAACAGAAATCAATCTACTGATTGCAAAGAGGTTTTTAAAGAATGGGAAGAAGTCCAGGAGCTTTCTTCTGCCCACCTCTTAAAGCAAATTGCAATAACCTGTATTTATCCAGAAACAAAAACTAAATTGGAAGCATACGCTTTGGACAAATTACTGCAAAACCCTAAGGGTAGAAAAACCCAGAGTGGAATAGATTACCTGTAGCTGCAACAAAGCATAGGTAGCAGGTGGAATGCCAGGAGCATTGAAGATAACCCGAAGGGCATTGGTGATAAGAAAGGCAGCCTATAATGTTAGAACAAAACACTGTTAGGAAAAGCAGCATGGACAACAGTTTTCTGGCTAAAAACTTTCAAACCTTAAAGCTAACCTTTTTACATACAAATGAACAATTCAATATTTGCAGCTGTCAAACATCAGGTCTTTAAATGTACAGCTAAAGGCTCATGTATGACAGTTTAACCAAGTGCCAAATGCCCTGGTAGGTTTTTCTTACCATCAGTGATCTGGTTAAAGAGATTACCTTACCTTTCTGCCACAGAGACGTATTGGCTATTCACAAAAGGGTGAAGAGTTTGGAGAAGACAGGAGAAGTGAACAATCTAGAACAACATAGCTGATTTGGAAAAATTATCCAATTCAGCTCACTTTCCATTTCAGCTATGTTGTCCTAGATTGTTCACTTCTCCTGCATTCTCCAAACTCTTCACCGTTTTGTGAATAGCCCTAGTCATGTTAGTGTAAATCTCCCTGAAAAGCAAAGGAACATCAAACCCTTAAAAGGAGAACTATGAGGCGAGTGAAAAATCACTCAGCCTCATAGTTCTAGCCGACCTGTGACAATGAAGCTGTACCATCGCTCGCTTCTCGATCTATCCCTGCAGAGAGCCGTCACTGTCACTCACGGCTCCCTGCAGGGATCCCCCCCCCCTCCCCTGTCCGATCCTCCAGCGTTGACTGGCGGAACAGACGGGAGAAGGGGCGGAGCCAGCTGTCAATCCCGCAGTTGGGTGGATCTCGACAGTCAAGTCGGGATCCATTCCGGCTGGGGCGTCTCAGTATACCGCGAGCTGTAGCTCTCGGAATACTGAGCTTTGGGTGACGGGAGGATGCTAGTTTGTGTCCTCCCGTTACCCTTAGGAGAACTATGGGGAAAAGCCCTGACCCCATAGTTCTCCTCTAAGAGTTGCCACCAAAACTGGAATAGAGGGCAAGTCCTCCAATGGAGACATATGTCAAGGGTAAGATTTCCAAAAACAGGGGCTGCAGACAAAAAAAAAAAAAAAAAAAAAGAAGAAGGAAGAGGACACAGGTTCTAACTTTTCTGGATCCTATAATAACGTTCTAGCAGGGTTCCCCTTTCGCTTAAGAACAATGTTATCAGTCATGCATTAGCTGTTCTATTACTTTTGAAATAAAGAGAAAGCCCTTTACAGATATAAATACAGGAAACGTCTTTATAACTCACCATTATTACTGGGACAGCATACATCAATATAACTGATTGAACGGTGAACCTCTCATTATCCATAACAGTGACAGGGTGGGCAAGGGCCTGGTCCAGCCAGTTACTAGGAGATAGTAAGTACATTTAGAACACTGACAACACCTTAACTTCCTTATTTCTATCAAACATTTATATTCTGTTCATAAAGCTGATTTGCTCCTTTTCTCCAAGAACGCAGAAATTGGAAGCACCATGTTTAATCAGTTGCAGAGAATATACTCTGCCTTCCATAGAGCCAATAATGCACTATAGATTACGTAGGCAGACAGCAGGGAATGCTGTAAAACTAATAGACATGCGACATTTTATCAACTTGAAATAATCAGCAGTCCCTCATTATATTGTGCTTGGGTGTAATACAATTTAATATTGACTTTATAAACTTTTTTTATGGCCAAAAATATTAAAATGCTAAAGTGTGTAAATAATTAAAACAATATAAATAAAAATAATAATAATATTTCATTTTAAAACATCAATAAATGCAGCTTTGAAGAATGGTCATTGTACAGATGCCTGTAAGGAGCCCCTGCAGACTATCCTTTTTCTCAGGCAGGAGTGGAAACCCTTGGTGTAAAAATATCTTTACAACAGTTCAGCATTTGTACAAATATCTGCAGAGACTGAGTCCATCAGTGTGCTTAAGCCCTGATGAAGGAAGCCCCATTCCTGCACCCCAAAGCTTGTTGGCTGTACATATCATCTTGTTGCCATTTGTGAAGCCAATAACATTTTTTTGGACTCTTGAGATAAATGACTCTTTTTGTAGTCTTTATTCACATGGATAACAAGAGAATAAGACATCACCACCACACGTGTGTATGTACCCAGTATGTCACCAAAGGTGAAGGCATTACTGGACGCGTGCGCGCACACACACACACACACACTTTATGTAAACAAAAGTGAAGTTCTCTTCTAATGCTCTGCATGCAGCCCAGAGCATGTGCAATGTGAGACCATGCCTACAGTGTAATTAGATGCCGCTGGTCAGGCTGGAACTTGCATCTGCTTTTCTCCATTCCTTATAGGACCCACAAGAGTTGTAAATTTCTCCCCTATGCAGCTGACATGAAAGAGGATCTTCCATATCAGAGATTGCAGGGATACACTTAACACTTTAACAGCTCCTTAGACTGTGAAACACACAGAAAGAAGACAAACCTGCAACAGATTCTAGCAAAATTATATCAAAAGAAACCATAATCAGCTGCTGGCAGCTATTAACAAAAAATCTGCCCCCCCCCCCCCTCCACCACCATCTGACAGCTTCTCCATGTTTCTCCTCAGATCCCACATCAGATTTACATCACTTCCTGTTCAATTATGAGTTTCTGAATGGGGAGAAGCACTTACACAGAGTAAATAGTTTACTAATCACCCGTTGGTGATGAATGGGAAGCCTCTGTACTGAGTGCTTCCCATTCATTGAGTGCTGAGGCTGCAGAAAAAGAGATTGGGGACTTTGTGTCCTCAATTTATTTTTCTATTTCAAAAGGGAAATGTCAGGGGTCTGTTTAGACCTCTGATATTTCCCCCGAAGCCCCCCAAACAGCAGAACAATTAAAATAAAATATTGTGGTGTACGCCATGCACATGTACTGCAGTGCATTGTTAGAACACATTGCAGTGCTTGATTTTTTTCTTTTTTTTTCTTTTCAAAATAACATTGATTTAACTGTGGCAGCGCGTGGCAAATCGTTGCGACGCATTGCCGTGCGTTGTGATGCGCTGTGTTGCGATTAAATGTACGCCTCTATCATTTTATCACAACACACACCAGCACAAACGATTTTTAACAAAAGTCGCCTATTTACAGTTTTACTTTACTACTTTTTTTTTCCGTTTCGCAAAAAGGCGCAATTTAAAATGTACAAATATTTGTTATTAACTCAATACCGTTTTATCTTTTAGATTTCTGCACGGATACGGATTTTAGTGTGCTTTTATCAATTTGTGTATTTTTATCGGTTTAAAATTGATTTGATAAACATTTGCGCAATTATCGCATAACAATGGGAAAAATTGCAGAAATGGAGTGGCCAGCTGAGGTTTAAAGTGTTCAGGAGGGCTTGGCAGCGGAAGGGTTAAACAGCGTTCCCAACACACTGTTACGAAGCTCTGTTCTAAATAGGAACAGAGTTACTGCAGCCCCTGCTGTGTTAAACAGCAAAAGGACAACAACGTTTTCTATTTGGCAGATTTCTCATGCCCAAAGTCCCTTAATAGGTGAAGTCCAATTATGAGCTGGCTGTGATACTCCCCACCTCTCCAGTGCTATATCCCCCACAATACTTATTTTCTGCCACAAGATGTCCTCAGTCAGTCCGAGAGTAAAGACATACATGAGTGCAGACCATAATGGGCATCACCATGATTCTTTGCACTCACAGTGTAATGATACAGACCTGTGCCAGTCTCAACACATCAGTGCCTCACTCATTAAGGACTGCCCAGCACCAGAAAAAAGACCAAAAGGAAGAGGACCCTGTGCATCATGTGACCAGGAATGAAAATTTCTGGAAAAGGCAAGTATTTTTTTAGAGCGCAACATACTGCTGGGGGGGTTGTACATACATTACAAAGGAAAGAGAGATTACCTAATAGAATGGAAGGGCAGTCACACTAAAAATCTGCCCTTCCCAGCTGTATTTTGCCTTTCCAATAATCCAGGTGGTAGACATCTAAGGGCCCGTTCACATGAGATCAGGTCCTGATCAGCAGACGTGGAGCTGCTGATGCATTGCGTTTTGGCCGCGTTTTGGATGCGTTCCAGCAAAAAAAAAAATTTTTTTTTTTTTTGCTGGAGTGGGGCTGTTAGTATGTTAGCTGCAGCGCAGTGCGTTTTTGATGCGTTTTTGACGCGTTTGCGTATCCGTTCCGTTTCCGGACCTGACAAAATGTGACATGCAGTATTTTTTCTGTCGTAAGCTGAACGGACTGCGCACGTGAGAACTGGAGCCCATAAAACACATAGGGATACATTGGGATGCATTTTGAGTGCAGCAGCGTACGGAGCCGGTCAGCACACAAAACGGACGTCATGTGAACAGGCCCTAAATCATAAAAGGTTACTAGTGTACCTACCTATGAATAGTCCACCTGCATCATGACACCGTGCATAACAGCAAAGGCTTAAATATACATATACGCACTCAGCAGCCCCAGAGACCAACCCATGGCCTTACCTGACATTCTCAAGCACGGGAGTTTTCATGACACGAAATAGGTGATGGTGTTGCGGCTCTTGTGGCGCCTTTTTGCCTTCAGCATGAGGGGAAGGTGGTGGAGAAAAAGGTGGAAACAGATCACCTGGTTCTAGAACTATGTGCTCATCATCCTGTGAATGAGAATATCAACAGCTGTATAAAAAGGAGGTTTGTATCATTCAGAGAGGCATGGTGGACACATTTTTACCTTCAGGCATTATTGCTAGCCGAAATCATTAAACCAGGAAAAGACATATCAGTATGTGGCTAGGTTAGACCAGTGTTTCTCAACCTTCTTTAAGTCAGGGCACCCTTTAAAAGTATGCTGATAAAGTTCTCAAGGCACCCCAGTCTAAAAAACGACATGTGGTCCTTCCAAAATTCATACAAGATACTGGTCTGGTATGGGTTTTAAAGGATCCCCAAGCAAATACACACAAAGAGTGGGATTCCCCCCTTCACGAGCCCCCTTAACATTACAGCCCCCCTTTCACATCAGAGTCACCTTCTTTCACATCAAAGGCTTAATGATGTGTAAACAATTCAAAGCAACCGTGAGGAAGCCAGAAGGCACGCCGGTTGAGAAAGGCTGGATTAAACCATACACTGATTTTTGGCTCTGGTGCTATTAGTTCTTGCATGTGGTTTTTGAAAATGATCTTAATTTCAGTGAGCGCATATTTGGAGTTATTATTACACTCGTTACATTAAAGTACTAATGTCACATTCTTACAGGACTACTCTTCCATATTCTGTGCTACACTATTAAATATAAAGATCTGTATATTATCCAATGGAGGAAGCTCTCTGTGTATTTGCTCTTGCTTTTGACAACTGTTGGCAGAAGATATCAGCCACACAGGGAGTTACATTGTTCTCAATGAGCCAGCCAAATCATAGATCTACATAGTGAGAAGAAGCAATAATACACAACCATTGTGCAGCATTACAAAGCAGGAAGCAGAGGCTGCAGAAGTGATAAGCAAATATGGCTGCCCCCATGTGCAAATATAATAACATGTTAGACATATAAAACACGGTTTTAAAAACATAAATACACATACTTCTGCAGTAAAAAAAAGTTCTGCATGTAAAACTGCTCGGCTGAAAAAAGTAAAAAAAACTGGAAATTTGCACACAAAAAAGTGTTCTGGCATTTTAACACCTTTTCTTGTTGTCTGCTTTATGCCACAAAAAGGACAGTGTTTTTTATTTTTGGTTTATCTGAAATTGCATTGAAGGAATAACATAGGACAGGGGTAGGCAACCTCTGCACTCCAGCTGTCTTGGAATGCCCATGAGGCATTGCAAGACTGACAGCCACAGGAATCACTCCCAGAGGTAGAGGCATGATGGAATTTGGAGTTTCACCATAGTCGAAGTGCTGAGGTTGCCTTTGCCTGACCTTAAAAGGAGAACTATGGGGTTAGGGCTTTTCCCCATAGTTCTCCTTAGGGTAACGGGAGGACACAAACTAGCGTCCTCCCGTCACAGTCACCCTAAGCTCAGTTTACCGCGAGCTACAGCTCGCGGTATACTGAGACACCGCAGCTGAAGCGGATCCCGACAATTATGTCTGGATCCGCCCAGCTGCGTGAGTGACAGCTGGCTCTGCCTATCTAGAGGCAGATCCAGCTGTACCCGCCCCCTCCCCCGTCCGTTCCGCCGGTTAGTGCTGGAGGATCGGAGCGGGGAGGGGGGAATCCAGTCCCTCCCCTGTCACGGCAGAGAGCCGTGACAGGATCGAGAAGTGAACGAACGCTGGTATGTATTCGCTCACTTCCCGATCTACTGAGCCGACCTGTGACAGTCTCATTGTGACAGGTCAGCTAGAACTATGAGGTGAGTGAAAAGCACTCACTTCATAGTTCTCCCTTAAGCCAGGATTTTTTTAATTTTAAAAGATGGGATGATGGTCGATGGACCTCCACAGTTGGCAATGTACTGGAACTTGTTGCTAGAAGACAGGGGAAGAGGTACAAAATAACCAAAGGGCTCAGTGGTGCAATTCATATTTTTATTAAATACGGCTTTTTTATCTATTCATTCACTTACCTTCATTCCTCTAAGTGATGCAAATGACTCTTGTCCAGGCCTCAAAGCAATGACATCCCCATCCACCATTAGGCTTACTGGAAGGTTAACAAGTCTCCCGTCTCTATAAACCCAGTGAAGGGACCACGATGGTGCTGATGGCATGTACAAGTCAGGGTACATGTTGTCCATCCACACAAATTCATGACAGCTATTTAGAGCCTCTGGAAAGAAAACGTCAGTGTTGGTAGGAAATCATAAAGATAACATATTCAGTACAAGTCAGAGCCTGCAGTTTGGTCACAGATTCCAGCTTAATACCTTTACTTAAATTAAAGGATAGATATATACACACACACACACACGCACACTGAGTGGCCAGATTATTATGACCACCCCATCAGTACTTCGTTGGGCGACCTTTTGCCTTCAATACTGCGGCGATTCTTCTTGGCATTGACTCCACGAGATGTTGAATGGTGATGCGAGGAATATGACGCCATGCCTGATGAGTAGCACTGTCCAGTTCTGTGAGATTTGATGGTTGTGGAACCAGCTGCCTGATGGCTCTTTCAACTTCGTCCCACAAATGCTCAATTGGATTGAGATCTGGTGATTGTGGGGGCCACCTAAGCAAGGTAAAGCCCCCTCATTTTCTTGAAACCAGTACTGCACATTATGTGTGTATGTGTGTATGTATGTATGTATGTATGTATGTATGTATGTATGTATGTATGTATGTATGTATGTATGTATATATATATATATATATATATAAACAAATCATTAAAATGAAATATGTAATGGAGAATGAAGAGTTTCCTTTGTGACTTGTTTGTGTGAGCTTGTACATAAACAATGTGCCAGTTGATCCTGCCAGAAACTCTGCCTGATATCACTTCCTTGATCAGGGAGACAAGGCTGGCATTGTGCCATTCATCATTGTTACCCCAGTGTTCACCATTCAACTCAGGATTAAAGTTGTAGGTTTGACGGAACTTATGTCTTGCTCTCCAGCACCAGGAGGGCAAGGGACTGCGGGAGTGATCAGTTCTGTCAGTCAGACCCCTTGTGTATGCCTCCAGTGCCAACAGAACACTAAGGGCTTATGGGAGCTCAAGTCTTTTTATTGCAAATTGCAGGTCACAGCCAGGCGACATGAACGGTTTTATGAAATGTATTGGAACATTGGTAACTTGATTCTTACAATTTTCCCTGCTTGGTGCACATTTCACACATGGGTGTGATAAAATATAGATGGATATGGTGAAGGACAAGATCAGCAAACTAGGGGTGCATGGGAAAGGGTGATAACACAGTTGTCAACAAATAATATGGAGTACCTCAACAAGGACCTTCATGGCAAGATCAACAGGTATCCTTTAAATGAAAGGTGTGAATTTAAAAAAAAAGACAGAAATCACCTTATAATGTTAAAGCTCTTAAGAGAGTTGGATTTAGGAGGACTACTTTAAGCTTTAAAATGCAAGCCCATCAAAAATTAATAGAAACTATCCACTGACTGTTTCCATCACTGCACAGACAGGAAGAAATTACCACTTGTCTCTAAATAATGGCAATTTGAAGACAAGTCTGTATGATCAAGACTCAAGCTTTAGTCCTATTACCAAGTGCATTTTATTAGAGAAGAGCAGATATTCTCCATGTAAAGGGTACTCAAAGGCTTACCTGTTTAAAAGGTAAAAGTATAGTGGTTTAATAATTCCTTTATTATAGCCAGGGCTAAATAATTAATATTTTTTAGGCAAGTAAATATAAAATATATATATTTGTATCTTCACATGCAGCCAGTAGGTGGAGCTGTTGGTGGGTTTCAGGTATCCATAAGCTTCAAACAAGCTTTAAAGCTGGACTCTGGGTATAAATACTTATATATACATGGGTCCAGTTTGGCACAATGTAAGTATGTACATTTTGTACCTGGTAGGGCTATGAGGATCCGGTAAAACATTTTCGACATTCTGGAACCAAAAATCATAAAAGTTCAAGTACATCGCTATTGCCCCCCCCCCCCTTAAGAAAACCTATTAATTTGTCTGGAAGTGCATCTGAATGCTCTGACTTTCCTTTAATGCATGGCTTTGATATCTCAGATGCTGCATCTGATGGACTAAAGCCATACTAGTCACCCTCATATCTTACAGATTTTTAGCCACCACAGTATACGACTACAGACCAAGGCAGTCAACAGCAACACATTATTATATACAAAGAAATATCACTTTGTGCAGAGAGATATTATATTAGTATTATGTAAAAAAAAAAAAAAATACATAACATGCATCCTGATAAAAGAGCACAAAACCATTCATTACTATATGATCTACAGAGAATGGGCCAATGAACAGACTTTCCTAAAATTAAGGAAAAATCCTATATCAAAATATATCAATATATATCAGAATGAAATCTGAAGTTCCTCCTGGTCTCTGTTCTGTTTGCTATTAAATATTTTCCTATATTCAGAATGACAACGCAGTAGGAAAAATACCATCAATCTGTGAGATGATCCTCTGTACTCTGCCGTCCACCTCTCTCTGCCTGAGTAGTTCTTGCTGCCTCATCAAGAAGAGATCCAGCAAAAGTAACAGCAACAGTGCGCAGGCATTTCCCACTTCAGATCCCTGGCTGGGGGAAGAAGTCAGATATAGATAATATAGCCAGACTGATTTTTAAAAAGTTTACAGTATTTTTACATAAGTTTAGCATATTTATTAAACTGCTTTGCTCCACAGCCCAATGTTTGAAATTCTGCTGCTTTCTGTCAATATTTAACACCACTTCAAGGAGGTAAGCCGGAGAATTCCTCAAGGTGGCTCGGCTGCTTTTTCTACTTCATATTTTTCCCCAATTTGAACCTCCATGAGTTGGAGAGAAACTTGGAGCTGGCATTATGAACAGCGGTCCTTCTGCTATTATTTTTAGGCCCACAGTCCAATTTGTTATATACCGGAAAAAAACAGAAGTTCTTCCTGATCCCTATAGGCCGGGGGTCTCAAAGTACCGGCCCGCGGACCAACTCCGGCCCGCGAGCCGGTACTATGTGGCCCGCAGCCAGCTGAGAAGTCGGGCACACGGGCACAGACAGCGTGCCATTACATGCAGTTACAAAAACAATCACAATCCCTGGATAAACAATCGTGTATCCAGGGATAGTGATTGATTCCTAACTGCATGTCCTTTCACATATGACTACATGCGGTGTGCAGGCGTTTACTTGCAGCAGCTGTCACCCGATCATTAATTTGAATGGGTGACAGTTGCCGCTTGTAACATGCGCATACATTAAAACTGGTACCATATATAGTAGCGGCCCCCACGGGACTAAAAAATTTGTCTAGTGGCCCCCGACTAAATTGAGTTTGAGACCCCTGCTATAGGCAATCGTATACTCTCTGGATCAGCATTCTGGAGTGTTATTTCTTCTTTAAATACGACTATGGATCAGATGAAAAACACCCTACTAATAAATTTAAAGTACATGTAAACCCAATCAATAAAATCTAACATACCCTAACATCTAACATAGTGTATATATAGCCAAAGCCTTTCTTTAGTCTTACATGGAGTAGGGAAGGGTTGAAACACATCAGTTTATCTTTGGGCTGTATGGCATCACAGAGATTTCACTTCACTTTCTGTCCCAGACACACAACAAGTAAAAAAAAAAGTCTCCATAAAGTTAGCAGAATTCCCCTCTTACTTCTTGTCTGGATAACAGCTCTAAAATGTTGGATTTCTCCTCATAATTTCTTTCAGTCAAGACAAATAGAGGGTGAGTCTTTCCACTGAGGACAAAGAAAAATTGGGCAAAGGGTATAACCCTTTCCCTCTCTGTCTCATACACTTGGCTAACATGTGGATGTCATGTCAGAAAATTATTTGCAACTATTTTAATTCTGCATCTTTCCTTACAATATCTGTTAATCCTGCCATTAAGGGCCTTGGTCGGGCACTTCCTGTTATAGGGTTACAATGCACTGTCCCTGTCCCCCAACTGCTCTACTGGATTGTCACTCGGTCATATGCCATTCCAATGAAGGCTATGAGTGCTTGTACCCATGTATATTGCACAGGCATGGTCCACTGTTGTCACCATAAGGAAACCTGCCTCAACATGACATGTTGCAATTCCTGGATATCATGAACGTAGACAGGAAGTGGCTTTAAAGAGGTTGCAGGAGATGAGCATAGCTGATTTACATCAACAAAGGAAAAGAAAGGTAAACAAAGTGTTTTATTTAGAAATAAACTTAGTTATTGTTATTGATACACAGTGCTTTAGCAAACTTAATGTCATTTAATCAGGGTTTCCATGTGCTTTAAGTAATTGCATTCACAAAAAAACAATTTTATGGTTGCATTCTTTTAGCAACATTTTAAATAGCAACACAAGTTGCTATTTAAAATGTGTTTTGAAGTGGAATTAAAGAGCATATGTAGAAGCCGATATGAAGAACAGCCAAGCTCACCTTCCATCTGGCTGGCTACCATAACAACAGAGAAGTAGCAGTGTTGCAATCAGCATTAGCAAAGCTCCGGGCCAGTGGAAGCAAGAAGAGCGGTTTCCATGATGCAAAAAGCTTCGTCTCCAATCCTGCAGAGAAAAACACTATGTGATCTTCTTGTTTGTATAGTCATGTATTTGGACATGTGGAGAGAGAGCGCTGGACCCGTGTGATTATTCTCTTGGCGTTTCTCATCCAACAGTAGTTAAGAGATATGAATAGTGGTGATCGGGTAATGGGTGGGCAGAATCTGCAATCCAAAAGGATCTCTACGGTATCCTTGGCTTGGCAGTGAACACAGTACATGCAGGAAATATATGTACACTAATAATTGTAATCCATTAGGATCAGGAGGGCAATCAAGCAGAGTAGCCAACGCGTTTCAGGGGGTCCAAAAGACACCCTCTTTATGAGGGCATAATGAGAATAATCTTGTATGTGGGCTACAATCCCTGCAGATTGAAAGTTGTATTATGATGGAAATACAACAGGGTTAGCAGCCAGGTATTTGTTTGGGGTATCTTCATTTGAAGAGGCCAAAAAATGCAACCCTATACAAAATATAATTAGCAAGGAGAAGACATGCTTCAGCTAGATTTCTGAACATTTATCATAAAGTATACAAAAAGTATTTTAGACAAAGGAGAAAAATGGCAATAAAAAAATAGCTTTTCACAATATGGAACCCAACCTAAAGCCTTGCGACACCCTAAAGCCGCTTTCTGAGATAATGTCCTTACCGGTGGATGGGGGCTTGGGCCACCAACATGGGTTGCCCCCCGGGCAGCAGCACGTCTTCTTCTTGGTAATTATATTTTTGTGTTGAGTTCTATTATTTGTCCTCTTTGGGTAGAGAGAGGAGGGGACAGATCCTGTGTTAGATTTTTACTGCTGTCTGGAGACCTGTTGGGAAGAGTCAGCCTCACTGTTTGTTCCTTCATAACTGCTGTCAGCTGTTCTTCCAAAGGGGAACTTGTTCCTCACTTCCTGTTTCTTGTCTCTAGGACAATAAAAAGCGGAATTTTCCCCATTGTGGGCACAGAAAGCAGTAAAAACTTGACAGATTTCTACCCTTTCTACTTGTCTAAAACTAGAAAAATGTTTCAGCTGGAGTTCCACTTTAATGAATATGTCCACTAAACCTGAATTCCAGGCACAGACTAACACAGCCATGTACTCATCATTAAAAGTAATTTTAAATGCAACTAGCGTGACTACCACATTTTTTTTAATTGCCTCTTGCAATCCCCTTTAGAGCAGCACTCAGCAACAGACAGAAGTTGAATACCTAAAAGACAATCAATTGTTCTGCACACCTATGTGCTGACAAGGAACATGCTGATAGAGGAGAGAGCAGAGAGAGCAGAGAGATGAGCTCATCAGTCTGTTGCTGCTCAAATCAGAAGGCTGGGGGAAGTGTGGTGACAACACCGTATTGTCTAAGTTTAATATAAGAAGCGTGCGACCATCGTTTATCGTGTCAATCTCAGGACTGAAAAGACAGAATTGTAAATCATTTTGCATATAAAACATCTCCTGTAAATGTGTAGCCGATCATCTATGTATTCCAATGTTTGCCTGCCTAAATATATTTAATTGTTGTTAGCCTAAGTGTATATATGTGCGTATATATACTTATATGTGCACACCAAGACTTATTCCGAGAGGTAAGGCCAAGTTTCATGGCACTGCACAGTGCTATCAGTCTAACCAACTTTGTTGCTTTTTAAAAGTCCAATCGAAAGGCTCAAGGTGGGAATGTTACCAAGGAAGCCGAGCAACTCATCATCGTCATTATAATCATTAGGGGGGGGGGAATCTGTAGTTATAACTTCAGCTACTGAAATGATTTTTGCCTAGAGCTCTGCTTTAAAGAATAACTCCAGGATTTGAAAAGTAAACCCTTTCGGTGGGGCTACCCCCGCACTGCAAGGGTTACCTGTTCGTTTTTCTCTGGGGGTGGAAAAAAAAGAAGAAATACTCACCCAATCCTTGGTCCTGCGGCACTGAGCACTCACCTCTCTCATCCCACCACTTCGACTGTGGTAGGTCCCTCGGCATCTTCACGTCTAATAGACCTGTATTAGGTGTAATAACATCATGGGGCCTTAGACCACCGGAGCCCGGGGGAGAACAGGCTGAGGGGACCGAGGATCAGGTGAGTATTTCTTTTTTATTTTGACCCCCCCCCCCCCCAAAAAACAAGCAGTTAACCCTTGCCGTGTAGGGGTAGCCCCAATGCAAGGATTCATTTTTTTAAACCCTGGTGTTCCGCTTTAGACACCCTGCGTGCACAAAGGTGCAGAAAGACCTACCTTCAAGAAAGCTATTCGACTTCTCTGGTGGGAAATCAGTGTAGATAAAAGCTGCTCCCGTAAGGATGACAAAGCCTGCCGAGTGGAGAGTCCCAGACACGGCCTAAGACCATCCTGGAAAAACAAAAAAAGGGGGTACATTTGTTTCCAGGCTCAGGAAACCATACAGTGCTAACAGTACACAAAAGGTACACAGGCACAAAAGAATTAACCTGGCTCTTCTCACTGGGCTCCATCGCTCAAACCCCCTGAGAGCACTCATGTACAGGCAGGCTTCTCTGTTGTCACAACCTATAAATAGGAACATATGAAAGAGGTAAGAAAATAACAGATTCCACTGCATCCAGGTCTTATCATGTGATCTCATTCTAAAATCCATGTGACTTTATATTGAAGAATTCCGTTCCGCTAATAGTACATTGCGTGCATCTCTCACTTTGGGTGATTTATGAACACTAAAAGGCCGCAAGTGAAGTACATTATTCAACATTAGGATTGATAACCCAATCACATTATTATGCTAATGATATGCAAATCTCTAACATACTGCTGCAAAGTATTTACCAATTGGTCCAGCTCACAAAATGAAATAAAATTTCTCAGTTCTTCAATATTTCACATTTTAACCACTTCACGTCAAGAGCAAATTTCTTACAGCAGAACCCCAGTTAAAACCTTTATTAACCCTTGCAGTAGGGCTACCCTCGAACTGCAAAGGATAACTGCTCATTTATGTATAGGTTAAAAACAAAGTTATACTCACCTGATCCTCTGAGGCCACTGGCTCTTAGACCTGTCCCTGGAGTGTCTCTCCCCCTCCGCTGCAGCGGTCTAAGGTCCCTGAGTCATCATGTTTCATACACAATGTATAGGACAAGACAATGCCAAAAGACATACCATCACTGCAGCGGAGGAGGAGACAGGCTTAAAGTAGCGCTGGTCACCGCTGGCCGACTCTAAAGTTTGGTTGAGTATAACTTTTTTTTTTACCTAGACAAAAACAAGCAGTTCAGCCTTGCAGTTCGAGGGTAGCCCCACTGCAAGGGTTAATAAAAATTTGCGCTCGGAGTTCTGCTTTAACTTTTGCACACTTTAAAATTGGAATTTGAGTCTAGCAAACTGCTTAAAGCTCCCAAACAATGATATTATTTCTGAAAGCAGAGGCTGTGCAGAATAAAAAACAAAATGATAGATGAATTGTTTTTATGTTGCTCGATATTTGCTCAAATGTTTATCGAATCAATATTTTGAGGAAAAAAATACACTAAAATCAATTTCAGTGCACACAAACAACATAATATCCAATGGAGTCGTGTTGGGTAAACAGATACCAAACATGTCAAACCTTAAAATTGCACGCACCTGTGAAATGCTTAAAAGGAGAACTATGAGGCGAGTGAAAATCACTCAGCCTCAAGGTGCCCATACACTGCACGATTCTCGGGAAATCCCGCGATCGTACGAGAATCGTGCAGTGTATGGAAGGCGTGCGACCGCTTCTACTGTACGGTCGCACGTCTTCCGTCGAACCAGCAGGCTAGAAAACCCGACGGGAATCGTACGATTCTCGGCGAGTTAGTGGCCTGCTGGTTCGACAACTGCCGAACGGGGCGGTGTGCGCACGCGATGATTGCAAGTACTATCTGCCTGTCCAAGATGGGCAGATTCATTGTACGTTTTTTTAAGTACTTTACAACCCTCGCAAGACAAAAGTCTTGCGAGGGTTGTAAAGTGTATGGGCACCTTCAGAGTTCGAGCCGACGCGTGACAATGAAACAGTCACACGTCGGCTCAATAGATCGGGAAGTGAGAGAACACATACAGTCGCTCGCTCACTTCTCGATCTTCTCCCTGCAGTGACTGTCAGTCACGGCTCCCTGCAGGGATTCCCCCCTCCCCTGTCCAATCCTCCAGCGCTGACTGGCGGAACGGACAGGGGAGGGGGCGGGCACAGCTGGCATTGCCTCTATATAGGCAGAGCCAGCTGTCACTCACGCAGTTGGGTAGATCTCGACAGTAATGTCGGGATCCGTCCCGGCTGCGGCGGTCTCAGTATACCGCAAGCTCTAGCTCGCAATATACTGAGCTTTGGGTCAGGGGAGGAGGTTAGTATATCTCCTCCTGTGACCCTAAAGAGAACTATTGGGAAAAACACTTACCCAATAGTTCTCTTTTACCTTTTTTGCAATCACATAGGGGGGCTAACAAGCTCCCACTCTTTAGCTGCATACAAGTGATCAGGATGTAGGGCCTATTCACACCACATCATCTCCGGACCTGATTGTTTCCGGACCCAAAATGAATCCTAATGTATCCCTATGCTATTTCTGCCCTCTTTTCACACAACATACTCCTCGTCTCATTTTGTCTGGTCTGGAATGCATAGAAACGCATCAAAAACACTTACAATTGCACCTGTAACAGCATTTTAAGCTAAAAAACAAACAAACAACGTCCTGAAAGTGGCAAAATCGCAGCAACAACACGGCAAAACACAATGCACTGCGTTCCAGATCTGGTCCGGAAAATGGTGTGAACCTGCCCGTACACCTGTATGTGACAGTCGGGTGCCGGCTGAAGTGATCGGTATCAAGATCATGGCAGCCACAGCAGCTGTGATCTTGGTATAATCACTTCAGGAACTTGCCAGCTATATATGCATCGCCGTCCTGAATTTGTCATATGAAGAAGTCCTATGTAAACCCAATCACTAAACATTCATATAACATGGAACTTCAAAAGGAATTTCCAATATTTGAAAAATCGTCAGACTTCATTGAAATGACATGAAGTTCTTTGTTCAGGCACTTCCGGTAGTGTGACAATGTTCTTATCCTGTCCTCCAATTGTATTGCTACTTTGTCACCCTGACACACAGGCTATCAATAGAGACTACAAGTAGCTGTTTCTACACAAATTAGGCCGTCACATTTATTTGATGTCACCATCAGAAAACCCGTCAGAGAAATAAGTGTTATTCCAACTCGGCTGCAAAAGTGGAAATACACTTTAGGTGAAAAGTCCATGGTCCGGGTAACGGGACAAACAGGAGACAGCTACTCTAGCTATGCCTCCTATGGGACAACGAGAACGTGGCCATCAGCACATACTGTGTTTCCCCGAAAATAAGACCTAGTACAATTTTTGGGAATTGCTAAAATATAAGACCTACCCCGAAAATAAGATCTAGTTGTGACCATTAACAGGGCCGGTGGTGGCATAAGGGGGAACTTGAAGAGCCGCGGGAGAGAATCAGCGGTGCCAACAAAGCCAGCGCTAGAGGAAGCGAGGCAGCACCGGAGCAGAGCCGCATAAGCTGATGCTTCCTCTAAAGCATACGTGTCAAACTCAAGGCCCGCGGGCCAGGATCGGCCCACGATGGAATTATATTTAGCCCGCATGATAATATTGAATTATTATTAGATCTGGCTGCCGGTATATTGCCCACACTATTAGAACTGCAAGTCCCACAATGCACATGGGCGCCAGGCAGCCGACAGATTGTGTCCATAAAGGCCAGTGTTCTACCGAAAGCTCCAAGTGTCCCCAGGATTGGCATCCCCTCCGCCATAAAGGTGGCCGCCGATCGGCGGCTGCCATCTTTAAAGCTGGAAGTGCCCTGCGGCTTCTGTAGGAAAGGCCCGCGGCTGTCCCTGCCTTGCCAGACCTCAGAGCACGGATGAAGAGCTTATGGGGCCTGCGCAATGAGGAGAGAAAGCAGGGGAAGAATCCACATAAGCGGGCACCATTTTCTTTGTACTGTGTGATATACTGTATAGGCCGCGGTATTATACTGTGTGATATACTGTATAGGCCGCGGTATTATACTGTGTGATATACTGTATAGGCCGCGGTATTATACTGTGTGATATACTGTATAGGCCGCGGTATTATGCTGCGTGATATACTGTGTAGGTTTGCCGTATTATACTGTGTGATATACTGTATAGGTTTGCCGTATTATACTGTGTGATATACTGTATAGGTTTGCCGTATTATACTGTGTGATATACTGTATAGGTTTGCCGTATTATACTGTGTGTTCAATTTGTTTTCAATAAACACTGAACTAGCCCAGCCCTTGACTTGGAGCATTTTTTAAATTTTGGCCCACTGTGTATTTGAGTTTGAGACCCCTGCTCCATAGCGTCGGCTCCTGTCACAGGCGGAGTGATACCAAATGCACTCTGCCTGTGAGGAATCGATTGAGCGAAGCGCGCTGTGCTCATTCTGGCCAGCGATTGGTTACCAAAGTCTGTTGTACATGAATAAAGTGTGGATTGTTGTACATTCAAAAAAAAATAAGACCTACCCCGAAAAAAAGACCTAGTGTGTTTTTTGAGCCAAAAAAAATATAAGACAGTGTCTTAAGGTGCCCATACACCTGCCGATTATCATACGATTATCACGTGTGATCCAGCGATCGTACGATAATCAGCAGGTGTATGGGCAGCGTGCGACCGCATCTACTGTACGGTGGCACGACTTTCATCTTCCTAGCACGCTGGAAAACCTGCCGAAAAATCAAACGATTTTCGGCGGGTTGGTAGCTTGCTCGGAAGACGAAAGCCGCAAGAGCACACTGCCCGCTCAGCGTTGCAATCATCAGCAAGCCCTCCCCTCAGCGGGGAGGGCTTGCGATGATCGCAAGTACGACATGCCAGTCCAAGATGGGCAGGTCGAATGAAATTTTAATGACCTTACAACCATCGCACAACGAAAGTCGTGCGATGGTTGTAAGGTGTATGGGCAGCTTTATTTTCGGGGAAAGGAAACACGGTAGCACATAGCCAAGATACGAAAGGCAGTTCCTGCTGACTGACAGAGCCAAGAAGGTTAGATGACAGCAAGACAGTACAAGACAGCAGGAGAGATTTACTCCTGGGCGGAAGCAACAGATGGCTCAGGATGTAAATTACATAAGAAGCTGAAGTCTGTTGGACTTTATAAATTAGGAAACATAATCTTAAAAATGTCCAACAGTCATTATCCATATCAAAATCAAATAATCTATAAATTGACAAGCTGTGCGGATTCACACGCGGTTCGAGTCGGCTTTATTCAGACGCAGCAGACATTGATCTGGATATACTTTATACAATTCCTCCAGTGTTTATATGTAGCTGTAAACATGTCCAACACGTTCAGATGATCTAATCTGCCCCGGACGCACAGATTTCTATTTCTCCAAACGCAGCTAAACTGCCTACCATTTAAAAGAATCAGAAGGAGACAAAGGAAATTGCGATGATCCTCAGAGCCATCCAGTGGCAGGATTACAATTATTTATATAGAGCCACCATATTCCGCAGCGCTGTACAAGCAGAAATGCTGTGCGAGCGTATAGCTGGGAGGACGATTCATAAATCAGCCCCTTGATTAATATTTCGATTGTTAGAGACAATTGGCATGAATTTCGTGGCAATAAAATATGACAGAGCCTGTGGTGATGGGCTTTGGTTCAGGTCAGAACCTCTTCTCCCCCCCATACAAATCTATGGGGAGGCAAAAGCAGCTTGAAGCAGGTCAAATGCAAGTCAGACGTAGGTCAGCTGGAGGTCAAATCTACCTGTCAATGAATTCTGAATGATCTCAAACTGACGTCACAACTATACTTCATTTGAAGCCCAAAGACAATCAACAAAGGCCCAAAAACTGCATGCGTTTTCTGCTAAATGTCAACACACATGGAAACAAGCATGTCGGTTTTTGAATACCCAAAAGGTCGGAATGAGGCCAATACTTAGGAAGACAATTAAACCCAAAGACACACCAAAAGCAGAAATCAAATGTCTGTAAATATCGCCCAAAACTGAAACTCCTTCAATTATTTAGAGTTTGAGTAAAAACATCTGCTTGGTGCCATCTCACAGCGAAGCTCCTAGAAGTCACACTTGCCTTGTCAATCACAAACTGGCTCAGAGGTTAGCACTGCTGCCTTGCAATATGTGGTCCTCAGTTCAAAACCGGGCCATGTGCCATCTGCATGGAGTTTGCATATTCTCCCTGCACTTGTGATGGTACTCCAGTTTCCTCCCTTTCTAGGTTAATTGGCTCCAGTCTAAATTGGCCCTAGTATGTATGTGCGATAGAGTCTAAGCTCCTGGAGGGACTGCAGTGTATGTAAAGTTTTCTGCAACTTGTTGCCCCTCCAAGCTCCCCTGGAAAGAATTTGTCAGTGTCAGTCCAATCAGCCGCATCCGGGGCATTCCCCACCACCATCAGCATGTAAACAAAGCGTTGGGATTCTGGTGACATCACTGACCTTATATGGACACCTTATATGGACATTAGTAATATGACCATTCAGGTCACCAGCACCCGGACCCTTTGTTTACATGCTGCTGCACTGACAGATTTCTTCCAGGAGAAACCGAGCTGGACCGTAGTCAGCGCTATGTAAATACCTATAATAAACAAATTGCAGATCTGATCTATTACATAGATAATATATGAGAAGAGAATTTTGATTGATTTTAGGCAGTCTCAATGCCTCCACACCAGACATGTCCTATTTCTGCAGAGCAGACCCCTATGTGCCCATTAGGATAAATCACACCATCCATGGATTGTTATTTGCTATATAAATTCCCCACATGCATCCAACTAATCCTCTGCAGAAACCAGTGACAGCCGCAGTGCCGCCTCATTACCATTCCCTCTGTGACAGCCGAGTCCCCTCTGTCATGTCTGACCTCCACACACCCCGCCATGACAGGTCTTCACATTACCCACCGCTACAAGTCCCCCTTCACCGCTCACCACCGGCCACCTCCAGGCTGAGCTGCTACAATACTTCCGGCACACAGTAAGAATTCTGCAGATGAAACGCCTTACGTCATCACGCCGTGTGCGATAGAACGCTGGCAGCGTGAAGCGTGCGGCGCCATCTTATGTGTGGGCACTCACTGTTCTAATGAGAGAAGTACCGGTATGCTAGGTGTATGGGAAGTTCTTCAAACTTCAAAAATACTGACTTATTCTCACAGAGTGACATCATACCAGCTGCATTTCTTACTGCAGTTACTCCCTATCTTTGTTAAATAAAAAAGTAATCAAGCAGACTCGCAGCTATGATATAAATCTAACATCTGAGGCATGTTCAGGACAGTCCATTGCCAAGTTCTGAGTAGCTGTTCTGCAGCACTTCAGTTCGCTGCAGCAGCTTCACTGAACGATTCCTCTGCACAGTGCTAAGCAATATGGTGGAGTATAAGATAGCAGTGCTGAGCGCTGACTTACAGCACAGCATTCAGCAGCGGTTTGCTAACTCGCAGCGGCTGAGCAACTAAACAAGTCTCTGCATGTATGTCCAGTGCTGCCTGTAGCCTCATGGTGTGCCTCTACTCCCATGATGCAATGCGTGGTGACAGAGCAACGTATGTGTGGGCCTGGGTTTTGCCATATGTGGGTTGATCTCGTGGCTTGCTGTCAGATATTTTTGATTTGCTGGATTCATTTTGTGATAGCAAGTACACTGTGACATCTAAGTTTTTTTTTCTGTGGTCCATGGCTAGATTGTTTGCAGCATGACAGTTACTTCTTACTGTGTGTTGATGATCGCAAGTACGATCTGCCTGTCCAAGATGGGCTGATCGTACGAGCTTTTAATTAGCTTACGACCATCGCAAGGTGTATGGGCACCTTTACTTTCCTTTTGCTCCTGCACCTCTCAGTTGAAGCTGTGGGTTAATGGAACTGTAGCTTACACAAGGCTATGGACCCCTGTGCAACAACACTGATTGGCCCCAAGCTGGCACATGAAGTGAGTCACATGCTCCTTCTTCCCCAGAAGTATCTAGTATTTGCTTCACCTCCCAGCACTGAATGGAAGAGCAGGGGAAGAAATGAAAGATTAGTATATACGGAGTTGGGGGTTAAAGCAAAAATGTTTTACTCCAGCTTTAACCAAACCTGCTATTTCATGTTGTGGTGAGTAAAAGTGTGTTAAATTTCCTGCCTGCTCTTAAGGGATCACTGGCATCATTTCCACTAACAATTAGTTTTTTTTTTGAGAAACATTTTCTGCATTTAGCACACAAGAACAGTTTCTCTTCTGTATGGATGGATTGATGTCGCAAGGTTGGTCTTGGTGGTGAGTGTCCTCACTGCTGAAAAGCCCTTCCCCTGTTCTGTGTACAGGAAATGTTTCACCATCCACGGTTTCTCTTTTGTATGGTTAGTGAAACATTTCCCACACACAGTGCAGGGGAAGGGCTTTTCAGCAGTGCGAACTCTCACCACCAAGACCAACCTTGCGACACATCAATCCATCCACACAGATGAGAAACCGTTCCCGTATTCTAAGCACAGGAAATAGTTTCTCAAGAAAATCATCCCTCCTGATTAAGGCTGCAACTAACAATTATTTTCATAAGCAATTAGGTGGCTGATTATTTTTTTGATGAATCAGTTAAAATAAAAAATGAAATACCATCTTTTATTTAAAATTTAAATGCATATGTGGAGTGTTAAAAATATAAAGTTTACATTGGAATAAAACTGCATGGCCATTTTTTGCAATCCCACCTCACCGGAATGCACGGCATTGCAGTACCACGCATTCCAGCGCAGGCAATCACACTGCAGGCAGGAGGTGTGTTTGGGGTGCCATTGAAGTGAATGGCACCACATGGCAACGCACATACCGCAGCAGAATTTTTTAAGGCCAAAACTTTACCCACCGAATTTATAGATTTTTAAAAAAAAATTGCATGTATTATATTAAACATTTTAATTAGTTTCATGGATTTAAAATAATCTGAATTGTAAAACTCCAACCAATATAATAAAATAACCAAACTTTTTTTTAAATGACATTACCAAACTTGGACAAAAAATACAATTGTGTATATATATATAAAAGCCGGGTCATCAGTTTAGAGTTAACCATGAATATTGGCCTGAGATTTATTGCTCTAGGGACGCCCGATCGCTTGCAGGAGCTGCGGGTGTGCGCCCCCCCCCACCTCCGCGCTGCCAGTCCAGAGGTCCGCTGTCCCCGGTGGGACCAGCGATGCTCTCAGTGGAGATCAGTACACGATCTCCCTTTGACCTCTTCTCAGTCCTCGAATGCAGGAAGTGATGTATATTACATCACTTCCTGCATTCACTGTCACTGTCCGGTACAGAACACTGGTGGGAAGCTGGTGAAGCAGATCTCTGCTTCATCAGCTTCTCTGCGAGTCCCTAGGTGACATTAGGGGTCTTAGAGACCACTGATGTCTCCATAAAGAGGACCTCTCATGTGAATTGGCTATCACATACCCCTATGTGATAGCAATAAAGTAAAAATGAAAGCATAAAAAAAAAATAAAGAAGCTAAAAAATAGTCACAAGTAAAAAAAAACAGTAAAACACAAAAAATGTTTTAAAGTCCCCCGCCCCCCACATACACCCGCAAACATGCGTCGGGTGCGCCAACGTGCCGCAAACATCGGAATAAGAGCAATAATTTTAGGGGCATTAATTACTGATAACATTAAACTGATGAGCAGTAAAAGCTTTTAATGCATCGCCCATGGCCAATTTTGGGTGTGGCCGTTTTCTGCAATTTCACGGGGGCGCGCAATTTTAAAGCTTGACATGTTTGGTGTCTGTTTACCCGACGTGACCCCGTCTTTTATATTCTACTAAAAAATTGGGGTGATAATAAATGTTTCATAACATTTCATGGGAAAATACAAAAAAATACAAAATTTAGGTTTACTTTTTTTGTTATATAGTAAAAAATAAAACCCCCAGTGGTGATTAAATACCACCAAAGAAAGCTCTATGTGTCCCAAACAAAATGGTATAAAATTCATTTCAGTACAGCGTTGCATGACGGAATAAATGTCAGTCAAAGTAGCGCAGCGCTGAATACTGAAAAATGGCCTCCACAGGAAGGGGGTTTAACACCGCGGTCATCAAATGGTTAAAACTGAAATAAACTGAAACTCAGTAAGGGGCGTACCATAAGTGTGTTAATGAACATAGATTGGTTTCAGTTGTGTCAGTATAGAAATGACTCTACAGGTGTCCATCCATTGTTAGATTTTCGTTCGGAAATTGTACACAACGATTTTTTTAATGAAAATCGAACAGGTAATGGTACAGCACCAATGAATGAGGGATGAGGATGAACACAGCACATGTGCAAAAGGAAAGATAATACTATATTCAAACAAATACTTCCTCTGCGTAGGTCAAACGATTATTTCTGTCTTTTGTCAAAAATTTGTTGGTTAGTATGGCTAACAAACAATTTCCAAACTCAACATTTGACTATGCTTGATGGGGAATTCTAGGTGTAATCGAACGAGCGTTTGCGGCACAAACAAAACCGTTCAAACGGAAATCTAACAATGTATGCCCACCTTAAAGGTGCCCATACACCTAAAGCTGCCCACACACCTTACAATTTATCTGCAGATTTTCTGTGGTCAGATGGAAAAAGTGCAACAGATTGGCACAGGTGGAGATTACTCCATCCACACACTTAAGTGTAGATGGAGGAATCTGTTGCACCTTTTCCATCTGACCACAGAAAATCTGCAGATAATTGTAAGGTGTGTGGCCATCTTCAGTCTACAGGTTAGTTTCAGGTGTGTCAGCATAGTTCTGATTTTAAGTCTTCAGATTGACTCCAGGTGTGTCATTATGGTTCTGAGTCTACAGACTGGTTTCAGGTGTGTTAAGGTGCCCATACACCTTACAATTATCTGCAGATTTTCTGTGGTCAGATGGAAAAAGTGCAACAGATTGGCCCAGGTGGAGATTACTCCATCCACACAGTTAAGTGTAGATGGAGAAATCTGTTTCCACCTTTTGCATCTGACCACAGATAATCTGCAGATAATTGTAAGGTGTTTGGCCACCTTTAGTCTGGTTATGATTCAAAGTCTCCACTCGTTGGTTTACAATGAGTCAGTATGGTACTGATTCTGCGTCTATAGATTGGTGTCAGTATGGTTCTGATTCTGTGTCTACATATAGGTATCAGGTGTGTCAGTATGGTTCTGATTGAGTCTATAGATTGGTATCAGGTGTGTCAGTATGGTTCTGATTCTGAGTCTATAGATTGGTATGAGGTGTGTCAGTATGGTTCTGATTCTATAGATTGGTATCAGGTGTGTCAGTATGGTTCTGATTCTGAGTCCACAGTTTGGTATCAGGTGTGTCAGTATGGTTCTGAGTCTATAGATTGGTATGAGGTGTGTCAGTATGGTTCTGATTCTATAGATTGGTATCAGGAGTGTCAGTATGGTTCTGATTCTGAGTCCACAGTTTGGTATCAGGTGTGTCAGTATGGTTCTGATTCTGAGTCCACAGATTGGTATCAGGTGTGTCAGTATGGTTCTGATTCTAAATCTACAGATTGGTATCAGGTGTGTCAGTATGGTTCTGATTCTGAGTCTTCAGATTGGTACCAGGTGTGTCAGTATGGTTCTGATTCTGAGTCTTCAGATTGGTACCAGGTGTGTCAGTATGGTTCTGATTCTGAGTCTTCAGATTAGTACCAGGTGTGTCAGTATGGTTCTGAGTCTACAGATTGGTATCATGTGTGTCAGTATGGTTCTGATTCTGAGTCTACAGATTGGTATCAGGTGTGTCAGTATGGTTCTGATTCTGAGTCTACAGATTGGTATCAGGTGTGTCAGTATGGTTCTGATTCTGAGTCCACAGATTGGTATCAGGTGTGTCAGTATGGTTCTGATTCTGAGTCTACAGATTGGTATGAGGTGTGTCAGTATGGTTCTGATTCTGAGTCTATAGATTGGTTTCAGGTGTGTCAGTATGGTTCTGATTCTGAGTCTACAGATTGGTATGAGGTGTGTCAGTATGGTTCTGATTCTGAGTCTACAGATTGGTATGAGGTGTGTCAGTATGGTTCTGAGTCTACAGATTGGTATTAGGTGTGTCAGTATGGTTCTGATTCTGAGTCCACAGATTGGTATCAGGTATGTCAGTATGGTTCTGATTCCGAGTCTACAGATTGGTATGAGGTGTGTCAGTATGGTTCTGAGTCTACAGATTGGTATCAGGTGTACAAGTATGGTTCTAATTATATGTCTACAAATTGTCTTCAGGTGTGTCAGTAGAGTTCTAGCAAGTTGTCGGTTCTTATACCTGATATGGATCACAGCTGTGGAAGATGATATTTTAGGTGGCATGGTTCTATAACTGCATCATAGAGTAGAATAGGGATACAACACAACACAACGCATGTAGGATTTCCTCAATACTTCACATAAAGGTAAGTCTGATATCTGTAACTCTACAGTAGTATTCAATACTTAGACAGGTATAGTCCGAGAAGTAGCGTAGGAAAGTATATTACTTCATACACCTTCAGAGCAGATAAACTCCCACAATCAATACACGGTTAAACCTGTATTACCTCATACAGGCGTAAAGTTCTCATGTATGGTGTGCAGGCTTTAAGCAGTATGTGAATCACATAAGGGAGACTGGTTCATCTCAGTAACCCCCGTCAGACATGTTCTCAGATTGAATGGTGGAAGATATTATTGGATGTTACATAAGTCAAAACTTGCGGTTAGCTGTGTTGATGGAGGCGAAGGATACCATCTTTATAGAGATAGCGTAGCGTAGCAAGGTTGTAGGATGGAGGGGGTTAAGGGAATAGTGTTAGTAGTCCAGTGGAGTGATTCCCCAGTCAGTGTAGCAGTAAGTAGCTCAATCTTCTTTGTAGCAATAGAGCAGTGTAGCAAGCAGGATTTGTAGTCCAGGGAAGTTGTCTCAGCTGTCTGTGGGGCTGTCATGAATACGCGCGGTTTGTCCGTACGGAGGGAAATGCTCAGCGCCCACAATTCCCAGACGCTGAGCATTTATAAAAACCCCGCCTTTAACCTGACAGCCAGGTAGAGGGAGGAGGAGCAGCGTGACGCCGTGGGAGAAGGCGGCATTGGACACTGTTCCTCGAGGACAGGTAAGTCTGTTACATAAGGGCTTGTTTACACCAGCCATCCGCACTAAACACATGGCTGCTGATGTGCGCTAAGAGGAACAATACTGACGCGCCAATCTTAGAGCACCGCTGTTTAATTTTTTTTTGCTCAAATTTTATTAAAATGTAACATTTCATTTAGTTGTATTCACCACAGCGGTGTTGCAATGCAGTGATTTGCATTGCAGAACAATACACTGAAAAAAAGGACTGCATGCCATACTTTCAAGCATACCACCGCAAGGCTGTGGTGTAAACTGACCTGATTGCGTTTTGCCTTGTCTATGCATAGGGCAAAGCTGCCAGCACAGCCCCAACATGGTTTAAACAAGCCCTTAATATGTCTTTTAAAGGGCCCTTGTCTCATCTGCATCATTTACCCACCTAATATGGGTTTGCACTGTTTCCGTCACTAATTTGTGTGAAAGCACATGTTGCTGTCTATATCGTCTTCATCTTTGTGTTTACCAATGTTACAAATTAACAGTTTTCTGACAAAAAAACATCTGTATTTGTGATTTTGTGGGCATACAACTCAAACCCAAGTATGTACAACATGTCCAGCATCACGAAGGTACTGCACTCCCACATCTAGTCGATCTTCCAACACCAACATCTTTAATACTGAATAGGTAGTAGTAGTTTGCTACATTTGACTGGGCTTGGTTCATTTTGAAGAGGGTTTTAGCACTTATCCAAGCGGCTTCCAATGCTCAAATGAGTGTCAGAAACATACAGTGGTGCTATGAAGTCTGAGCAGGTGTTAACCGTTCGATCTACATGGATGAAAGTGTGAATTGTTTTCAGATCGCCAAAGTAAATGTTAAAACTGCATAATATGATGTGATGTCGAAGGCCCCCACCCCTGGTTTCACAACTTATCAGACCTCCAGGCATGTTCTTGGAAAACAATCAACAGCTACCTTGGCACATTCCTTAACACCATAGTAATTAGATTAATATGACTGCGCTGCCCATTTGATATAGATGCCAGGGTATGGTACTGATACTCATTAGAACTGATGAATCCACTTGGATGAGTCATATCTTCAGCATTGTAAAAAAAAAAAAGTCCAGTTGAAACGGACAAAATAATGCTAGTTTTATTGTAACCTGGATAAATGAGAACCCTCACAGACATATTGGGGGGAACTTATCAAAACTGGAGCAGACAAAATCTGGAGCAGTTGCCCATGGCAACCAATCAGCTTTTCTCTTCTGTTTGTTCAGTTAAGATCTGAAAATGAAAGAGAGAAGCTGCTTGGTTGCCACGCACAGCTGCTCCAGATTTTGTCCGCTCCAGTTTTGATCAATTCCCCTCATTCAGTATTGGATAGGGTCTTGTGTGATCAGTGAGATGGTATTTACAATCACAACCTTCTTCTGTTTTATTTTTCTTATCATTCATAGATCATAATGTGCCCGTTAGGGCCCTAACTGGAGGATGGTGTGTGCTTATTAAAAGATTATATTTCCATTGTTTGGTGGAACTTACAACGTAGATTCTATTTTAGGGAAAAAAATAGAGGTTAAGTCAAGAATCCAAAAGCAAACAAGACAAATACTTTATTAAACATGCAGACTTCAGCTTCTACACAACACTCACACTGCAGATTTGTAGTCTGTTACCATGTATTTGAAATAAACACATATGACAGTAGTCTTTAGTATCCTTAAACAGGACTTCAAGTCTGTCTGGTGGGAGAGGAACAGATTTTCAGGCTATGTATACAGTACAGTTTTCTTGACAAGAATGCAGTGGGGCTAATTAATGACAACTAAAAAAAATTGCGGAGCTGTTGCCTATAGCAACCAATCTGCTTTGCTCTGAAATGAGAAGCCTGATTCAGTGCCAGTGGTAATGACTTAACCTTTCTCCAGTTTCCATAAACTGCCCACTGTGCTTATAAGATAAACCTTTCTTTCAGAGCAATTGCAAAAAGTCACTCGTCATAGAAGAAAGAGTATGCTGTGATTTGGTCCCTATAGTTCACCGTATAAAGGACTGGCCTATATATTCAAACAAGATGATAGTATGATAATCTTTAATCAACCATATTTCATCCTCTATTAGGCCAAAGACAAGCTGATGTACAGAACACTGACCTTTTCATTAACAGAGGCGTCTACAAAGTATGAAATGTTTATACTTTCTTCCGTGACACTAACCTCTATTTCAGAAACTTGTATATAACTAGATTCCATAAAATATCTCCAACAGTTACTTTGTTTTTGTTCTAAACGCATTCTCATATAAACAAATGCATAAATCTACAGGAATGTTCATACTTATCTTAACAGATAGTGAAGGCAAACGTTATTGGCTTTGAGAGAACAGGAACATGTCAAACTAAGAAAAAAAAACAAGTCTTTGGTCTCTTGAGAGTAAATTCGACTGCCAAGACCTCTAAGATAACCAGTATAATTATCCAAAAGAGATTTTTTTTATATATGTGTCTTTGTAGTTGCTCTGCCTTTCCTGTTCTGAGCTGAAGTCAAATCTACCTGTAGTAATAAGAATTTCCTCTCCAGAATAGTGCTTACCTCTGGCTGAGTATTCTCCACTTTACACTCCTACACCGTGCCTTTGGCTGTGCAGCATTTAAATCCTTCCTGGACTCTGCAATCTGAATTTACATGCATGGGCAGTGACCTGAGAGATAAATGGACTACCTGTTCCCTTGAAACCTAGCAGGGGGATGAGCAGTTCTTTAATCCATAGGGTGAACCGTGCACAGTAGCTCTTAAATTACTGTCTCCAGAGAGACTGTAAAAGCTGTCTGCCCATAGCGTTGTGAAGTGTCAAATACTCAGTGTGATGTAAGTACTTCTGTTGACGTTGACATATTTGCTCATGCAGGGTCACATATTTACTCAAAACCTGTCAGGATGGTTGTTTTAGCATCAGAACTGAGGTACCCATCGAGTAAAGGAGGCTGCCATTGCCTAGTGCTTGGAAACAAGTTAAAAGGGAGGGCATGCACATCATTTTGTCTGATTCCGTCAAGCTGTAATCTGCTTTACGAATGGCATTGTACCTGGGAGTCCGGTATAGGAAGCCTACTGTGCTGGATGGTTCTGTCAGGTTCCTTCCATCCAACCAGGTACTTTTTGAAGAGGCAATATCAACTTGTGACTGTATTTGCCCTTAATGTCTTCACAAGTGAGAAAAACAGATTAGTTGTATATATGTTTCTACAATACAATACAAAAAAAAAAGTAGAATAATACTGTAAAAAAAATGTATAAACATATGTCAAAGCCTCTGTGTCTTTTACCAATCAACTGTCTTTCCAGCAGCAATGGTTTAGACAAAAGAAAGGCTGGCATATCATTACACAACAGTAGTATGAATGCTTTAGAAGCTCTGGACACTAAAGGGAAATGACTGAGTCCACTCGGGAGAGTACAAATAAAGTGCTGTGAGGGTCTCAATCACTCCCACTATATCCAGCTTTTCACTGCCCAGATGTTTCGGACGTGTAAACAACCTGTATACTGAAGCAATATCACTTCTCATTTCCTATCACAGTCTGAAGATGACAACAGAAATTAGGGTCATAGTTTTCCCCACAGATCTGGGCTCGGAAACTGGTCCACTTCCCCCACCTCTGTGCTGAACTCTTCTCCCAGTGTAAATGATAGCTTATACCTGAGCCGCACTTTTTCCTGTCAGGGAAAGAGAACAAAATCAATGTCTGTCTTTGCTGGTGTAACAATATTGAGGAAACAAGGTTCACAAACTTTTCCATAAACCTCACCAGCCGTGCTTGTTTTATGGATTTACTCACAAAGGGTTCGGAAATCTTGGAACTAAAGCTGGCCATACACTGTGCAAATTTAATCCGCTTCATCAGGAATTGCCCAAAATTGGCACAGTGGATGCTGCTATCAGCATCCCTCGATCAGCTGATCAAAGGAGCCAGTCAGAAGATGTTTGTACGAACAGAGCCAGCGGGGAATGAGCTGCTGGCTCTCTCCAGGTATTCTGACAGTGACTGGCAGAACACTATAGAAACAGAAGGGATTCCTCGATCATGCGCTCATAGCGTGGATGGAGGAATCTGCTCTATTTGTTTCGTTCAGCCCACGGGTTTAACAAAAACCATAGAGCAGTGTATGGCCAGCTTTAGTTCAATCCATGATTATACTCAGTTGCTTCCTAAATGGAAATCCACAAACTGTGCACTGTTGATGACCTTTGAGGACCTATCCAACCAAATATCTTTTTACACAGCTTCAAAAAGCTCCTGTCTTTTTGAATGAGGTAGTCGATAATGCCTTATAAAACAAAAGTTTATCTAAACTGGTCCAATAAAAGGTCATATTTGCAGAACTGCTGGGAATAGATGACACATTCAGGAAAATCAAATGATTGTAGGAATTTTCACCTAAAGTCAGGAAATGTCCATTTTTTTTTTACCTTGAGTGGGTTTGCCAGTAACATGACTTGTGTGATTGATGCAGGGGGTAGAATGGGATTGAATGCTGCCATCTCTGTCCCAGAAGGAGGCTGTAACTTCACCTTCATTGTCTATAACGGCAAGAAATGGATTTTAATAGGCTTACTGTCGCAGAAAAACAGCATGCCGAGTCATGCGATGCATAAATACCTTGGGAACTGCTGCCTGGAAAATAATATTTTGTATAGGTAGAGGTGCTGTGTTCAGCATAGAGATCACTACAACCAAAACATCTGGACGGTCAGGTGGGCAGTCCTTGGCAAAGTGCAGCAGAATGCGGAAGCCATTCTTATCATAAGCAGTCACTGGAAGGAAGGAACCTAAAAGGCCATTATTAATCATTTAAGTGTTTGTACTCAATGTGGAAGATCACTGCCTACAAAGCAGACATTCTCTTTATTTGTAGTTATTCGCATAGTAGCACTAAAATAAACAACCTATTATGTTTCAGCTTCTTCTCACCAGGTTGGCCACATGTACACCTAGTGAATATTGAACCGATGAGAAGTGGCTCAATTACTTTATAAGATTGTTTAACTTATTCACAAGAGGGTCAGCAATTTTGTACTTTTGAGAGAGTCAACAAAAAGCTCTAAGGGCCCGTTCACACCTAAGCGTAACGTCAATCGCATGATACGGTGTAAATGATGAACGCTATTTCACAATCCACTTGACATGCATTACAGTGCACTAGGTGTGTTGACATTCATTTGAGAGGCAGTATAACGCAATGCTGTGCGATGCACGGTACAGTGATGCAGTAGTGCATAAACTTATTTTTTCCACCACACGATATTGCGGTACCGCGCACTGCATTGCAGGGCAGATGGGAGGGGTGCTATTCAAATGGTAACGTAAGCTAGGTGCATTTCGTGATTGACGCTGGATTGCATCGATGGAGCCATTTAAATTTTTTTTTTATTAAAGGAATAGTCAAAAAAAGGTTTTTTTCTTTTCAATTAAAGGATTTTATCAAAAGTCTGGACTTTGTAATAACTATTTTATTTAACCCTTTAGTGAATGTGTAGGGGTACAAGTACCCCATACTCATTCACAAGGGGGGGGGGCATCTGGGTGCCCCCCTTATTAAGCCCTTTTGCCCGCAGACCCCCACAACCACCGGGTCAGGGCTGTGGGGAAGAGGCCCTTGTCCCCATCGGCATGGGGACACGCTCCCAATGCAGAGGGCACGTGGCCTGGTAAGGAGGCGCAGGGAGGGGGTGCTCGATCGCCCCCCCCCTCCTTTCCTGCTCTGTTTGCAACTAAATTTCGTCCAACAAACAAAATTTCGTACAGACTACCGCTAACGAATTTCGGAATCGAAAATTCGGATTTGTTTGCATGCGTTATATCTGTAATTTGGAAACATCCGAATGTCTGAAATTTCGTCCGAATATCGATTCGGAACGAAACGAATCGCACATGTCTACTGCACACCAGTGGCTGTACGAGACCGCACTGCCGGTGTGAAAGGACCCTAATCGACAAAGACATATTCATGCTACTCACTTGTTTTTATTGTTTCCAGCAGCACTATCACATTTGCCAAGGATATATGTGAGCCTTTCTGGGGGCTTTCCTGCTGATGGGATGGAAAAATGAAGTTACCAGGGGCCACAGGCACAGAACAATATGGAGAAGGAGGAGTTACGGTTGCAACAGGATTTAGAGGTTTCACCACTGCAAAGGTGGGCATGGCATTCAAAGCAACAGAAGAGCCCGTGGTCTTTGCTGATGCCCTAAAAAGGTAAAAAGAGATTGAGATGATCAATTTTTGTTGATTCTACAGTATTCAACAATGTTCATATAAAATTATCTCTGCCAAGAAAATGCTAAGCTCCCAATGTTTTTTATGGCAAACGTACCCTTTTGCTTCCTGTAGTAGCTGCTGTCCAAGCACTTCTAGTTCATGTAGCACAATCCCCCCAGCAGGAGGAGCAGGGGATGGTACAGCTGTAGATAATACCGGGGCAGCATTAAACAATGGAGGATACGTAGTGGGAGTGGACTGCGATGTAAAAGTTAGGGCAACAATGGGATTTGCTGGCTGTGCTAGCAAAGGGATGGCTTTGGTGATCACAGGATCCAGTGTAGGTACTGTGAAGAAATCAATATCTTGACTGTCCACCTGTACAAAGAGTTACATGTCAGTTGAGACAGATGTACTGTAGACAACCCGTGCACTAGAATGAAGTAGCATGTCAATTATTATAAAAAGAAGATACAGGTTATTACCTGGAACATATTGCACTTGGAGTCTGAAGTTAATTCTGGGGCTCCATTTGAAGAAGGATCATCCAGACCTAAGTGTGGGGGTCAAGAAAAAGACATCCCAAATGAAAATTACAAAGTGTAATAGGGCAACACATAGACGGTATCTTTTTTTTTTTACTAACAGCCCAAAATATTTGTACAGAGCGAGAAAGTATTAGAACAGAGGTGGGCAACTCCGGCCCTCCGGCTGAGCTTTGACTACAAATCCCAACATACCTCTGCCTCTGGGAGTCATGCCTATAACTGTCAGTTTTGCAAAGCGTCATGGGACTTGTAATTTCACAACAGCTGGAGGGCCGGAGTTGCCCACTCCTGTATTAGAAGCTCTTAAAGGCTTTTAATTGCTGTCTAAATCATCACTGCAAAGATCCCTGGGTGATAGGATGTCAGTTTGACTGTAAAGGGAAATATCCCTAAGGGGGAATACAGACCATAATAAAATGCCAGCAAAGGTTCCAACTCTAAGCTACTGTATCCAAAACAATAATAAATAAAATATTCAAAAGCATTTTCACACCATTTTT